TGCGGTTGTCCTAAAGAAAGGTTAATAGCACTGTCTGATACAAATTTGGAATTAGATACAGTAAAACCAAATATGACTTAACTACATCATACTACTGTTTCGTCGTTTAAAGACTCGTCGGCGGCGCTGCTGCTTAGGGTATTGTTGTGTTATATCCTATTAACAGTCAGAGAGTGTAAAGCACCTGTTAGGTTTGGAAAGTGGAGAAATCTGGATTTCCCGTCTGGCGACTGCCCCACGGTGGTGTAGGACTAGGAACACTTGACCATGTACACACTGTTGCCATGTGATAAACACAAATATGACAATTTTTACCCCCAAAATATCTCTTTTCTCCGAGGAGGCAGAGGAAAACTCGACTGGTATTTTACAATCCTCGTTTCAATGTTCTAAATTAAGCTGTAAATAGCACTGGTACTTTATGAGAAACGGAGCTAAAATTTGAAGTCCGGCAAATCAACATCCATTATTTTCAGTGCTGCTGGAACGCAACATCTGATAGATATGTCGTAAAAAGATTGCACGTACTGTAATGCGGTCTAGCTATAAACCAAGTTTGGCTAAATTTGAAGTAATGCCTTTTGATCAACGGATCACAACTGAAAACTTTGAAGTGAAATGTTGCTTTCGTCGCAGGCCACATCCTGTTATGTGCTTGCCAAACGCAATCTAAATGTTCATTTTCTATGCCTTATCCGTTTGCTATGCATGACGATTCAGGTACGAGGTCGTGTTTTATCTCCCCTTCATTACGGAACTTCACATCATTACGTGCTTTTAAATGGATTAAGCTATAAACTGATGACATCATCACTAAACATGCATACTCATAGTAATCGAAATTTTGTAGCTTTAGAAAATGAAATATTTCACTGAATTTTCAAAGAATTAAGAGGGAGAAATGTCAACTTCTTTTGAGTTAAGTGGTTCAAAACAGTCACCAAACTAAAAGTATGATTTTGTCATCATTTCATTGTGATGAATGTTCTTTGAGTAGGTTTTTGGGTGTAATTAAGTCTAACTCTATTTAAATTCTTTCTAATTAATCACCTCCAGTCACAGGTATTCAGTCTGATTCCATTATCATTATAATGTGCATGTTATCAATCTGACGAAAAAGCTATTTGATACAATTTAGTTTTAATTTGGCTATGCTGTATTAGAAGGTGCCTCACTTGAGGGTCCATTTCAGAATCTTTCAATACAAGCCTGATTATGTTAAAAATCCCCTTCTGTTAATCTTCTCTTGTTTTGAATAATTTTATAATAGAATCATCACATTAAATTTTATGACAAAAGTAATTTTATGCAATCCAACAACCTCGTGTGAATAGTCGAGCACATATTATGAATGTACGCTGCAATGTACTTATTCCTGGAAACATATGTGCCTCACTTGAAATACACGAATGGTGCATGTATCTTGCTGGAGACTGCTGAGAGGACTCAGCGTCCCCTGTTATCATTGCTGTCAATCTCTAACGAATCTGGTATTCATGTCTATGATACTCTTGCTTATCTTGATCCGAGAGAATAAAGCATCTAATTAACCCTGACTTTTGTATGCTTGTACATCTATTCTTATAACCAGTATCTTTTATGATACTGGGTTCGCGGTTCGAAATGAATACTGTCTTACCTAATAGATGGGATTCACTTTCTGGGTACAATAACATACACATATGGAATAATCAATACATTTAAGATTATATGTTTTGACATTTAATGGTGTATTAAATAATTTGTGGGGTTATATCTGCACTAGCGATTCACTCGATACATTCGTAGGGGGATATAATTTGACAAATCAAATTTTCAATTAAAACTCCTGAAACATTATTAGGTGCTAAATACAGTACAAACAGAGGTTAAACATTGAGCTACCGCTGACTAAGCTACTAAAAACTTCATTATGTACAAAAAATATCTAAAACGTTTACAGACTGAACAATGAGCTTCGTATCTCGCAGCTTTTGAACATATTCGAACATTAAATACTTTTATACTTTAATTTTGAATCGATACTAAAATAAGCCCCAGATCTTGCAATTCCTAAAATACACCCTGAAATGTAATGTACTAAAATTGCACTCAAACATTTAAACACTGATGGAATTCTCGCTGCTCCTAATTAAATCAATTGCAGTTATTTATCGCAAAGCGTTTAAAACATTTAATAGACTTGGTACTAATTCCTAAATAGTGGAAGTAACATGCTTACGTCTACGGGGAAAAGAGGCCATTTTAATAGACATCCCACGGAAACAATATGACATTCTTGTGTGTATCCGTGATGTTGAAATATAGAGGTTGGATATATGCTTATTATGAAGACTGGTACAATGACATAAGAAAGTCGTATAGCAACTTAGTAGGGATAAACTGCTATCAAGGCAAACTTAAAGTCAATTGTTATCATTTACGCTACATCTATGACAAAATTCGGTTGGACGTGGACCGGAAAAGATTTCATTGCATAGCTGTATAAATCAATAGCATTCGATTTAAAACCCATCTTGTTATTCTGGCAGTGACCATTAAAGCAATAATTCATTTGCAATTAAAGTCAACGTTACAGCTTAGATTTAATTACAAAATGCAAATCTTTACACTAAACAACACAAGTTGAATAATATATACATAATGATATATATATGCATATACAATTCCAGGAAAGACAAATATAACATTACCTTTGTCCTTGGCCAATTTATACGTGCTGGCAGTTTTTTTTTTCCTTTGCATTATATACACATGTATACACATATAATTCTTGTCAGCGTGCAGACCTCTAGGTGTTTTCAAGTTGTATTGCAGATTAGTTATGTCAAAGTGATTGTGCAGAATAACATCATTCAATCAAATTTAGGATAAATGTATTGTATACTACCTATACTACTACAGACTAAGGGCTAGTACAGGGTACCTAATATATTTAACACAATAAGCTCCCTCTTCTATTAAATTTTTTATTATTATTTTGTTTTGAAGTTGAATTTTTCTTGGGGTCACCAAACGTAATGTTCCTTCATTATTGTTTTTTCACGATTTTTATCTTCGCTTTTTTAACCCATCCTCCAAAAATCTACAATACTCGAATAATAAATTTGCAGCATTTGATCAATTTTGTGACTAAGATTTTTCCTAATTGAGTATATGATTGTGGTACTTATAATATCTACTTGGTTATTTGCACAAAATAACAAAATAAATCTTAAAGTGTTTCAAACTTATTTCAAAATTAAATTGATTGAAACTGACGAGGTTGTAATGGTATCTATCACAAAGTCGTGACAGATTTTTGCCACGTTGATGTATCCCATATAAATCATCGCTGGTATCAGATCACACATATTGATGTACAGGGTATAAATTAACATTTTTAGCTTCCAACTATCCACTTTTTAAAACATTTTTCAGGCGTAGATACGCATGATGAAATGAATTTAATGGCCTTTTCTGTCGTGATACAGATAGAATCGACAATTACAGAAATATCTAACGAATACTTTCTAAACAGAAAATAGACATCAATTTGTATACGAACTACTTGTAAATATGTATGTACGCATATACAGTGATATGTATGGACGCATATACCCTTGAAATGGGGACAAGTTGTTTGGTTTTCTTCACTGTCCACCTGAGACAACATGAGAGAACATCTCAAACATTTTTTAAGCACAAAAATACTGAACTCTGTATGATCATAGTTGCTAGCTTTCAACTGTATAGCCGTCTATGTCGAAAATACAGTTATCATAAAATGGTGATACGGACCAGTTGTACCAGGGCTTTACAATGACTGAACACGCTCCATAGCGACAACAGTTTAGGTTTGTTTAATTTCATGACCATGGCATGTCAGTAAATTCAGACTCATTCCATACAGAGAGTAGAGGGTTGCCATGCTAAGTGACACTAGTTAAAACATTTCTTTTTTCAAAGTTCTAAAAACAATGTCTTCAGTGCTTTTTTCATCGACATTAAGCCCTAGTTTGGATATATATCACATTTCCTTTTCTACCAATGCTCGTAAGTATGTCTGGTGGGTTTGTTATTGTCGATCATGTTCCTATCTGGGAATGTGACATTACTAACTTACACATTGTGTGTCATCGATCAAGCAGACGAAGCTTAAGCTTACGGAACACAGTGCGTTATTCTTTTATCTTTACATGAGTATCCGTGCAAATATTTATTTTATTCATAATTTGAAATTGTTTCGTCGATTTTGAGTTTAGTGCTGACAGTTAGGTATTTTCATTGTGACATACGTGTGTTTTAGTGCACTGATCGTGATTGAGATGAAAATAAAGGAGACAAACAATGCCTTATTTTAAACCTTGCGTGCATATGGCGAGTAACAACTGTAAAAGGACGCAAAAGCAGTTTACTCCGGAACAGAGTAAACCAATGAATGCGGAAGCCTGACAGGTACTGACATCTTTAAGTCGTATGATGGCAGATGTAAAAGCAATGTTTACGGACGATCTAACGATTTTGCAAACAGCTCGCATCATGTACGTTCCTTTTCAGATTGAAGTTACAAATAGCGCAATCGCTAATCGTTTACAACGATAATCTAGATAGTATTCGAGTGCTAAGAAACTCTCTTTATTAAGCTTCCATTTTATAAAGGTGGGAAATATTATCAACTACGGGAAACCAGTAAATGATGCATTCTGGCCTGACTACTAGAGTTCTGATTAAAGTAAAGTCATGTGCCCACTTGAGGAGAGGACAGAGCAGACAAATTAGAGGAAGGCATATTTAAAACTCATAAGAATATAACTAGCCATTAGGATAAACATAATTATTTCACTAGAGAAACGTCAGGGAACATGGAAAAGAGTCCCGAGTTCAATTCAGCAGACGGTCCCATTAACAGTCCGCTTATCTCCACACTTCGCTTATATGATGAATACCTGATGATGACCTCGTCACTCTTATGTTATCAACTATGGGAAAAAAAAGATAAAATAAAAACTACCAAACTGTTGCATATTTCAACTAACTTTATTACTCATCAATATAACGCTTTTAAAAATAAATTTTCTTTTCAATACTCACTCTCATCAATACATAGCAAACACAGCATACAGACTCATTACATATTTTGCATTGCAGCTTGTGTAACAGGGTATTACAGAGGAACAATACCGTTACCCTAGACTTGCACCAGCGCCTGCGTATATCAATGTGTCCAATTCATGTGACTCATACAAAACCGCTTTCTTCAAACGACAAATAAGCGTTCTTACTTTCACTAGAGTCGTACAAATTTTTTTTTTCAAGATGTATGATTTGACCTTGAACCCAACAGTCTAATGTTGAATACAGCGCTAAGCTCTGATCTATAATTTGACTGCTGATTTACAAACATTGCACTACGATTTTGGAAAATCCAAGCTAAATTCAACAGGGTAACATGGCATGCTTCTCCATATTCACGTAACAAAATAATATAATATCGACTTTTTACAGAACACTTTATACACAATGTGACATCGGGGGAAACGGTTTATCACAGTAAACAATTCAGTATGTATAGAACTCTGACAGTATAAAAACAGTACGTTATCAGTGTAAATGTACAGAATAGGATAATAATGAAAAAGAGAAAAAAAGTAAATAATAAAAACAATAAAGAGGTGTACATCTAATACCAGGGACAGTATTCAACATTTTAAGAAAAACAAAGCTACAAATATTCCAGGAAACTACAAAAGATAACTGATTTGCCGCAAAATATTCTGAACCATACAACAATTTCACAAAGGAATTAGTCTTACACATAAACAAGGTTCGTTTGTTACAAAACAATATGGCGACTTTACATGACAACGTATAGGATATGATAACAGTATATGTTTACTAACAAATAACAAAATAAATGATTAACAGCTGCAAGTGCCTACCTACTAATGGGTTTCTTCTTGACATTATAACAAAACGGGTAGATCTGCGCAAATTATCACATAACTGGCCAGTTCTGCCATTTGATACGTCAATATCATATATAGCATATGACATATGTGTGATTTAACATAAATCAAACTATGTCACTCGATAGTCACGGCGGTGGAAAACAAAGGTACTGCCGAGTTGGAATTCTGTCTTATAACGAACTACTTTTGTGATATTATTGTGAATACTTGGAGACGATTATCGTTTTTGCGATAAATTGAATTCCGTAATAAAAAAATTCAAATGAAACGAAATCCCACTCAGCAAACATTGCTGGCAAGTAAACGGCAAAGTGATACTACATCCGATATATCCTGTATAATATTAAGTCATGCAATTTCATAACTATAACCATTAGGGTTATCTCGCAAAATCAAATCTGGACAATTCCATTGCTGTAATTGACTTCATTCACACCTTTTTCGGACAATCTCGGTCACGTTATGCATGTTCTGCAGAAGACATAAATCAAACAATAAATTGATTGAAGATTTTCACCAAGTGAGATGGTCATTGACATAACCTGAACTCATTAAATGGAAATCAGTTCAACCGTGTCCTTGACCTTCAGTCTCTATGTAAAATCATACGAATTAATTGCCATTTTCATGATATGGTGGCACTTGAAGTGCATTATCAAATCGCATAGCAATCAACATGGCAGATATGAAAATAAATACAAAGATTTTATACCAACAACAGTATTGTACAGAAATACATAAAGAATACAACTAAACAAAGAGAAAACGATGTCTAGGACATTACTGAGATCTTAGGTATAAATGATACGCAGATATTTTGATTTCTTTACTCTTCTGAAATTTTATTAAACCGAGAACTGGTATCTCCTCCAACTCGATATGTGACCATCTGAAAAACCATCTCTTTTAGTGTTTTCTTTCGTAACCAGAATGCTTCTGTGCGATAACTTAGGCGGTAAAACGTCAGGACGAAAGTTTGTAACTGCATGTAATTCTTCACTCCTGGATTTCCATCCAGTAAATAACAGACAAGACCACGTTTATCTTACGATGACACAGACAGCATACAGACTCATACGGAAGACATCATTCACACGAGACAGAATGTAGACTCACACAGGTGAGAGTAAAGTAAAGGTTAGATCACAAATCCATTTAAAAATCGAATCAATCAACCGTCTTCTGTAGTAGAATCACACTATTTCTTAGAGTACATACAGTGTTTATTCAGATCTTAAATAACACATAAAACATATATCTAAATCACGTGCAGCAGGTAGACATAATTGAGACAATGTTCAGTCCCAAGCTACACAAAGTACAGTAACCAAGCTAATCTTTAAACATATGTAAGATAACTTAAATTAGCCTGATGTTGTACGAGGATTCAGATAATTGCATATAATTATGATAAAGCATAACTACTTGTATATAGAAACAATCCTATTTACTTGAGTAAAATTATGTTGTAGCACTCCAAATGCAGATATATGAAGAATTTTATGGGCAATGTCCATCGAGTTGTCAGCAAAGCATTTCATTTTCTCTTGTGTAAATTGTTTATAATGCTGTTCCTTTGTCTTTAACATGTACAATAAAAAGATTAAAAAAGAAGATAATTTCGTTCTGTACGTTCAAGGTGTATAAAAATTGTAAATATTATCTCTAGAACATTTGTTTCTTTCTGATATTGGTATATCTTAATCTGTTATAAGATGAGTTATCCGCCAGTCATCCCCGACCTTGTAGGTAACCGTGACCGCAATACACTAAACGAAAGGTTGGGCAACCAAGGATCTTTACTAGCAGTTTCAAGAAGCCGGAAATAAATGGTTAATATACCATATTATTTCAATATTAATAGATACGAAAAATAAAGATTCCAGGAAAAATATGTCAGTTATGTAAGTAGTGGTTGAGAGAATTCAGAGCTGATAACATTTACCAAAGGTATCGGTCTCTAAGTCAATCTCTTATACACTCAAGTGTTCCTATGCCTATGTACCACTCTTACCGCACACGGAAGATGATCACGCCTTCAGTATATTCCGACCTTCAGGTACATATGGTATTCATCAAGAAAACAGGTTGTTACGACGTGTATACCATACATAAAACTATAACATAATATCAGCTGTTGTATATAAAGCAATACATTAGTTCTAAATGAGTCATTAACACATATGCACCAAAAGGAGATTCCTTCACGGCTTTACTCTTTCGGAAGAGCATAAGCTACGAAAATGAGCACAAGGATGCAGCACTCAATATGTGTTTTGTTATGTTAGCACTTTAAACACAAACCAAAATACAAACTTTTGATATAGTACCAATCATATAGGGGATGAACTTCATGTCATAATCGATATGTTACAGCAACATTAATTCGGAATTTGAAAATAAGCCTCTTGCTGTCTTGTTATGGCATTTATGATTATGATGACAGAGTTTTGAAAGCAAACTGGCATATTGTTCAATACGACGTTTTCTTGCATAACTCTGTCATACAGTACTGAGACCGTTCAATACTTCAGTAATTCCAATGAATAAAGTTTACATATCATTTTGGTTATAATTTTTGCATCACAGAAATCGCCAAAGTGCCTTCTCTGAAGTAAAAAAACCCTTCTGTTTTGTCCATGTAAACGACAACCATTCATCATGTGATGACTTATCTGCTGTAGTACTTCCGGTATACAGACACTTCATTTCCTGTACTTCCGGTTTGTTAAGTTTACGTTAATCTGTCAATGATAATTTATATTGTTACTGGGTGTATTTGTTAACTTCTCTAAGAAATGCATTGTTTTATTGGGTTACAACAACACTGGGATTAATGAGGTATAGGTTACATGCATAGTTCAATGCGAGATGGGGAATTGTTTTAAATTAGAATCGTTATCTGTCAATTTTTTGCATTGTGGTCAGTTACACTCGAAAAAGTGATGTTTGTTCAACGTTCTTATTTCTTTAACATAAGTGAACAGAAGGTCAGTTCTAATATAAATATTACAAGTAAGTGTCTTACTTTATGGTCGGCATCAGTCCACAGGGTTCCAATATGTCAGTTGTAAGACAAGAAAAAATGTTTTCGAATGTATGATACAGCGTGAAGGTTTTTTTAACGTTATTTTTATATTGTATGTTACGCATGAAGATATTCCTATAAGAGGCCTATTGATAAGTATTGCTAACAAATCTGACTATGACAGGCTACATATCTGACAAAAAGTAACATTACCTTGCTACAAAAATCGCCCCGAATCGTGTGTGCGTCATTTCCATGGATATCATGTCTTTTTTGTTGTTCAGTCAGACAGACAAAGCGTACGTATCACTAAGTAACATAACCCAGCAAACAATCGTGGGAAATGTAAATTGTAAATGCTCAAATTTAGAAAGGCTTTACTTTCCTATCACACGATTCGTTATCGAAACTTGAGTAAGGAAACAGGGCCACTCGTCCTATAAGCGGCTTAATCCTATACCTGTAATGGGCTCCACTTGACCGGTCAGTGTTTAGATTCTATCAAAGTGCGTCGTTAAACTAAATAACTTAACTGACCTGTACTTTTAAGTAATACGCCAAGGTTGTAAAAACCGATCACGTACGAAAAAAAAGCATTCATTTTCAATCTAAACAAAGAATTTTCACTTATTTTGTTATGCAATATTGTATCTTAAGCTCAGCTAAATACCAATTTACAAACTAAATTAAATACTTTGATATAAAGCCTAATCAATATCGCGACACATCTCATTTTTTGCATTCGTTTAGGATATATCGTTTTACAATGAATTGTTTATAACTTCTATGTCCCTGCTGTTGAATTTATAATTACAGTAAGGTATATTTATGCCGTTTTAATAACGGATCTACAACAGTTTAAAGACGATATTTTCAAGAGCTTTGTAAATTGCCACAATTAAATATGGATTATCATGAAATGCACACCTAACAATTTTACCTAGTTCAATTAAAAAATCAGTTATTTATTTTCAACATTAAATATATCGGAGTATGTTAACGTTTTATTTACTAACACACTCTGAATCAAGATATCTGCCAACATACACGCACTTTTGGCAAATGTTTTGGATGGAATGGGGGGATTAATATGCAAATATACATTAAAGGTCAGTGAACAAACATAATTCGTAACCATTTCTCTAAATGGGTTTTACATCAACTTGGGGAGTATAAACGTCTCGATATCAATAAAATCCAATCTGTTAAATTGTTAACTTTGAGGTGCTGAGATGATCACCGTGATTTAAATGTCACTACAATTGGTGCGATTTAAAGTAGTCAGTTATAACACCGGTATATCATACACAGCTGTTACAAAAAATATCCATTTCACGGATGAACAGGTGCACTCTGAACTAATAAAATTGAACTATAGTATGTTTAGTCATCGCTTTTCTGAGACATTAGCTTGGCGAGGTAAAAGAATACAGTGCCTATATCTAATGACAGTTTCAAGAAGTACACGTATGTGTATCATATTCAAGTGAGCGTGTGTATTACCCAAATGATGTCATGAAGAAACTCTGCTAAGCTCACCTGGAGTTTTGCCAATACATACATTTCAAATAATATTATACATATTGTATATTGTGAAATACCAACAGGCCAATTGTATAGCCATGTCCAAGGAGGCGACTTATGTGTTTTCTAACTGCATAATATCAGATGTCTTCAGATATGACGTATCAAATACAAGAGTATCGTGCATGTAAGATGAAAGTAGTTTTCTGTTGTGACCTTGCGACTATGGGGGAGAAACTAAAAACTGAGCAGTAGCCCTATTGTCATTGCAACCCTAGGACCGTTATGCCAATAGGGGATCGACACTTAACGCCGCGGTAGTTACATGTGTTTTATTTATAATATACTACACAGACCACGAGTTATTTAAAGTCATTACGTGTTCTCAAGAGGTTTTCCGTCTACCTATGTTTTAATTTGAAACATGAATACAGTTTATTAGCAGATTTTATTGGTATAACCTACAAGCCAAATCGGTCTCAAACCAACTCACTATACGGTCTTTAGGTATCGTACTTGTAACTTTGTTGTTGGTAGTGGACACGTCATGATAACTCAGGAAAATGCTAAAATAAATTGTTAGATCATGCTTTCTATAACTAAAACTTTCAATCCGTCATGCATACGATCAAACGATTGTCTAATTATTGGTGGTATGGTAGTAGCAGATGAACTGACCATGCACTTATTAATAATGTGCAGGGACAGGTCCATAATCGCAATACTGACACCGACGTCACGTCTGAAGTTTTTACCTCTACGAGAGTTAGGAGGCCCCAAATTTACACCCCAGCTAGTTCTTTTGTTTTTAATTGTTGTATCCTCCCTCCCATATTACAATTTTTACTTTCACCAGGAACCCAAATAATGTGCGTTGGGATACCAACGAGAAGGTTCAAGGTCAACGTGTTGTAAAATTGTTCACTGCTATTATAAAGTGTAACGTTTGAAAGGGTGATGATCGATGAAGTAACGCGTCGAAATATAATACTGAGGACAGAGAACAATAAAGGGAAGTAGCAATGAATGATCCATATAAAAACATATCTAAATTAAGTTTCCAAGAAGGGAGGAAAGCGATGGATGTTCCATGAAAGTCAGAATTAAAACTTTTAACATTTCCAAGGGAAGTAAGCGAGTGCATGCAGGATTGGAGACGCTGAGCTATGCTCTAGTCACTCTTTTCCTGGCACTCCTGTAATACAAACAAAACATGTATTATAAATTAATATATAAAAGTATGAATATGGAAAGATCAAAAGTCTACATGCATCCTTAAGGCTACAAAGAGTCCAATCTATGGATTGGAACTGCCAGATCACTTGACGTATGACACACTTTTTTATGATAAGATACAAACAGCACTGTATAAAGAACACTACTTTAAATATTGATCGACATAATTTCTTTTATATTCTTGAAAAAAATCTAAATCAAAATCCCTTCAATGAAGCGGTGTAACTTTGTTCAATGAGAATTAGGTCTTTGGGAGTAAAAAGGGACTAAATAGGGACCTAGTCATGATTAATTATGACAAACTATTATTTTATGAGTCCTGGCAAATAGTTCATAAACACGAATTTCACTTAAAAAGACAGTATTTTAGCATGAAGTACTAATTTGAAAAAATACTATATTTTAGCATGAAGTACTCATCTGAAAAAATACTGATAAAATGTACTATGAAACGGAACATACAGATGGAATGGAAGCTTTTTTTACTAAATAAATATACCACAAACGGCTAAAATATATACAATTTGTAATCTCCGTTACTAGTGAACAGTATAAAAGTTTCATATACTAACATCACATCCCCACGTGAACTTACAGGTTATCACTGTCAACAATTATCGGGTAATTTCGAATTATCTGTGATTGGGGACTTAATAACAATTGTATAGAATAAGTCTTAAATGAGAATAAGAAAGCTAACGAAATCCTACTCACAAAATGGACACTTGAAATCTCGCGTATACAAATGATTCATATTATATTGTAACACAAATCAAGACTGCTGAGTAATGATCACAAAGTTGTTAGATATTATGTTCCGGTTGTTCATGATGCGCTATGAGTAATCCATCAACTCATTTGAAAATATTGCTAATTGCTGTTAAATGGTTTACGTCTGTCAAAGAGTAGGTTCCTATTATTTAATTTGGGAAAGGATTGATTCATTTGCATCTGACAAAAATATTTTAATTGGACCTTACTTAGCAGTTATTTTAAACAAATTCTCAACACGTATGAAATTACCGAAAAAAATCAGAATAAATATATAATTATAATTGTTATCCCTTATGCTTACCGTAAACATGGCTGCTATTGGTACATCTTTTTTATCATATCAATACAAAATAGACAAATGTACAAAGAGATCGAGAATTCTTGACACTTTGGAGCCTATAAACTAGAAAATAGGCGTGAAGAAAAAATTGAGTTTTAATTTTTGTTGTTGACTATCATAATGAGGGGACTTAAGTACAATCTATGGACTACACAGGTTTCCGGAAAAAATAAATCAAATAATTACACGAGTACATACAATTCTGTAGGTCTTTAAGCGTGTCCGATTGATAGTAACCAACAGGCAACTTAATATTGTTGCATTGAAGCAAGATGAAGTGAAAATGACAAATACAATATTATGCTAATGAAGCCAATTGACGACCTCTAAGAAATAGATATACCAGAGAAAAGGTATATTGGATAGTTCCAAAGATTTTGATTAATTGCAGGCATAGTGGGACCTTTTGAGAGTGCAACTCATAAAATATATATATATATTACAAACTATGCAAGTTTTACGCCACGTCGTGACGTAAGGAATTTCTGATCACAACTTGGTATTTAACGTTTATAGTATAAGTATAATGACAGTGAAGCGTCAAAAGTAGAATATTCTGTCTGCAATGATTTTATACTATATTTCAATTGGTTGTTCCTGTAGTATTTAGTATACAAAGCGAAACATATGTTACAATCTGCCTCCGTTTCATCTATTACTAATAGCCATGTGCATATAGAATATAATAGGCAACTTTTTTATCTTTCAAAATCACCATGGACTTTTTTTGTTATTGTACAAAAATTTCATATAAAACAAAACTATGAAATGATGACGTAGGGGAGAGGGCCCTGAAATATCGTGTAACGTCAACAATAACGTTTGGCGCATCACTGTACACATATATGCAAGAAAACTATTTCAACATCGCACCTTAGTTTTAACAAAAAGAATACCTAGACATTTACAAACATTAAAGAAAATGTACCCAAGAGTCTTCAGTTTCCGTCGGGGTCGTCTTGGCGAAGCACTCAAAGACGTAATTCGAATCTTCGTTATTGTCCCAATACTCGGCATCGTTTACACGGTAGGACAGCGCAAATTCCAGTCGAGCGTGTAATCCGAAATCCGCAGGTGCCACAATACTGAAGGAGAATCGGTCCGTCGGTCCATCACATGAATTTTTCACATACGAAGCAGCAATATCATGAAAAGTAATCCATCCATTTGTACTGTATCTCACACGACAAAATTTGTGAAATCCCAAATTCGCCACCCGAATTATTCCAGTTATCGTCAAATTTGTAACAACGGCATTTTCGAGACAAACTTTCCTTGTCAACACTCTTTTTAAGAAATCGTCGGAAGCACCAGGTTGTTGAAAACAAGCAGTCAAGTATCTATTTCCAATTGTTTTCCTATCCACCTCCAATCCGGGATGCAAGTCCTTCATAGCAGATGGAGGTATTTTTGGTGGAGCATCGGCATTTAGAACGTGCCGTACATCCTCCAAATCTAAACCCATAGCGTCAGCAAACCTAACCATCTTCTTCCGTCGTGGAGTTCCCGGAGGGGTTTTGTTTGTTTTCAGAGATGAAGATTTTCTTAATTGTGCTTTGTTAAAACTGAACTCATCATCCTCATCATCTGGACTGTCAGATGCAGCCAGGTAATCAAAAAATGACCCATGTGACGATCCCTTCTTTAAATCATTATCAATGAAAGGTTTGTCATGTGCGTTAAGTCTAAGCGTGGGGAGAGAACTTGCTGGTTGTAAGTCAGATTTAACAATTTTATCTTTCTTTTCTGCGAAAGCAGGTATATTAATAGCTAAAGAATTCATTACTGCACTTACAGCTTCCCCAATCGAGGCCCCATGACCTTCCGGTGACTCCTCAAGGTTATTCTCCTCTGGACTATTGATTGAATCAACGAAGAATTCGTCACTGGCAGTAGACTGGCCATTTCCACTTGTTACGGAATCCAAATCATCCATATTATTTACATATATGCCTTCCTCACTTGAATCATTTGAACAAGTTCTTTTCCGGCCATTTTGGTCTCCACCGCTGTCGTCTGCTACGACTGTCGGAGAACAACACAAACTGGTTTTTACCGGCGGTGAGCTCGCACGTTCCGTCGCTAAATCCATCGGTTTTGAGTGAATGACATTCATAAATACCTCATTATTACAAAGGTTGATTTCTCGCTTCGGATTCCACACGAAGTTTGCACTTACGCTATAGGAATCTAGATAACTGTCTTCCGAATAAGAGAGATTGCGTGGTAAATAAATCTCACTCTCAACGGCTGCTGCCTGCTCATGTGTACACGCTACAGGGGATGATGATTGCACGCTCATTGGTACATGTTACAGAGGTGAACAACACGTGTATATTTCCTTCAAGTAGGTTTACTTAACCACCTAGTCAAGCAATGAGTACAATGTCTTGTCATGATAATAATCCTTCCTGGTTAATCGTATACACTTCTGAAACGGACGTTAGAGCTTTTACACAACAGCGATTTGTATGTGTGTGACCGGAGCAGCACTGGCACGAGTGGGTTGAGCACTACAAGGTTAAACAATGCAAATAAATACCTTAATTGGGAAACGTTCCAATCTGTATTCAAAGAAGTAAATCCCTTGTAGTACCACAGTTAGCCCGGCCGTCTGCTGTCAGTTAGACCGACACCCGCTGTTGTGTACTTCCCGACGATTCCGTGTTATATATGTGCCGCGATTCCGGTCTGTCACGTTCGCACTGAATGACGTCACAGACTGTTTATAAACAAACACACGTGGAGGTCGACTCGCCTGGAAAGATCTATACATTTCTGAAGGTAAACTCTCACATTTCCGTTCTATATATTTTAAGGTTAAGAATAAAACAACGGAAATAAGAAATCATAACACGTATTTTTTATCTTTATGTATCTATGGCGTATCAATTTCAGACCCAATAGAATGGTACCCTTCTCTATGCATTGAATCATACACTCTTTACATTGTATGACTCGCAACCAAATAAATTGATAGATATATTGATATATGTTCATACTATATCAAACTGTTTCACTGTTGCAATACTTCAAAGTTCAATTCAAGATATTACTCTATGGCATATATGCACGAGCTGTACGAATATGTATATTGAAACTATTCAGATACTTGCCGGAAGATTCACCGACGTATTCAAAAATGACATCTTGACGAAATCGGTTTTCGAGCCGTTTTTTTTGACTCGTCATTAATTATAGTACTTTATACATGTATAAAACGTGCGCATACTTTATTATGTCTGATGCAACGATCCAGATATGTATAAAGAGTAACAGCTGGCATTTTTATTTATTTATTTATTTATTTTGTGTGTTATTTAAATGTATCGTTTTATGACCTTACCTATAGTATCTGCTCTACAATAGTAAAACCATCCAAATTCCGATGCGATACAGTATACGCGAGTACGAAAGAAAATCGTTGCATGTTTTATCAGAGACAAGTGTTTAATTTTGAGATCAACTATAAGGAAAGTAAATATGCATACATTGTAGGTGTCAATATTTGAGATACAAGCTTCGATAAAATGTAACGATCTCTTAGTTTACACATAATGTCCTCCACCTATCTAACTGGTTTCACGTTTGCTGTACAGTCTTTCAGACTTTCAACAAACAAATTGTCAACATTGTCCGAACTATGGTATTTTTACATGCAGTATTTGTGATCATCGTCTCTTCGTAGAAGTAAGAAATATGTTTCAATGTTTATATTTGTAAATGATCTCAACATAGGAACATATAGTTTAATGTGATGATGATTTTTTCAAGATTTAAGTATTGGAAATACATAGAGAAGATAAATGGTCAGAATAAAAAAAATATAAGCTGTGATTTGGTGTGGATAAATTAAGATAACAATGACGAGTCTTTAGCAAGTGACCTTTGTCTATCTGTTTCGACCTAAATTCAGAACATATTTTAGGACTCTTACCTAGCATAACATCTATACTGCAACTTTTATTGAGAATTTAAACTTTCGAATCGTGTTTACCATCCGTTGATAGACCTGATGACGAGCTTTAAAATAATTGCTTCACGCGGAAAAATAGTTTCAAAATTAAAACGGATATAAAAGCTATTTGAACTACTTTTTCCAAAAATAAAACTTGTTCAATGCAATAAAAAAATTCGCTGATTTTAACCGTTTTCCCTGCCTGAAATGCGGTTTCTATGATTAATTCAGAGAGTGATGTTGAAAATCTTGAAAAAAAATTATATATTATATTGATATTTAGATATTGAATTCAAACTCAAAATCCTTGAAGCGATGGTGAAAATATTAAGAAAAAAAACTAATAATTATATTTCTCACTTTACCTGTCTGTTCTTATGTTTCGTTTTGTTTTTTTTTATATAAAATATCACCCTCGATACTCTACGGAGTACGATCACTTTCGCTCACTGCACCTCTGGTACATGTCATGCATGTTTCAAAACAATGGCACCATTAACTTGGTTACAATATCACTACGTTATGGGGGACAAAAAAGACATGATTATTTTCGTATGTGTCACAGGGATTTGACACGAATTCCCGACCCTGTTGTGTAATGCTTAGCTATTAGCAAAAATGGAAAAATTACAACTGTTTTTGTGACCATTTCTTATATTCTAGCAAGCTAGATTGAAACACAGATATCTGTTTTGTTTACTTAAAACCAGAGACGTATATATCTACGTCTCTGTTAAAACTTAGTCAGCTTTTCGCCGTCTCGGGTCATATATTCGATTATTTCTTTATTACCGTTGTTTACGTGGAAATAAACAGCTTGGAGGACGTGCCATTTTGCACAGACAGCGAAGCTTTAAATAGCTCAAGCCCTGTTTACACTACCTTGGCATGCTATAAATAGCTCCAGCCCTGTTTACACTATCTAGAATGACCTTCACACCAAACAATAATATGTTAAATGTCTAAATATAACCGAGGTTGTCCAATATTTGTGGCTGTTGTTTCTCTGAACAAGGACAAGCAAAACCTCTTCCAGCATATGTAACCAACACGTAGAGATAATGCTACTGACTGATCGTCCCTTCACAACAAACATAAGAAGATCTGTAATATGAAATAATGACGGTTACGTGATATTTCACTATCAAATTACTGTTTGTCTGGAAAGATATTCAAACGCGTCGAGTTGGGAACAGTCTCGATTAACCGAGACTTTCGATGAATGGGAAACAAAATTGAAATCACATGGGAGAAAAATGAATTTGCATAACTTTAAAGTATAATGCATATTGATACTGTGATATGTTAATCTATAACCTACTTAGGCCATTAGGCAGACACAATAGTTCCTAAACAGATGTAGACAGGGGGCGGGGTCACAAGAGAGAACAGGAACGAATTTTAATGTGGAAAGATCGTTTTTGAAATGTCATCCTTTTTGTGTATATCGGCCGATCAGGTGGAGAAAGAACACAATACCCACAACATAAATCTGTATAAGGTAAAGACAAAAAGTATATTGATAAAAGTATTGACAGATAACGCCGACCATGTAAAAGGACCTAGGTATCAAAACATTTAATTCCCTATTTATGTATATTGGGAAAACCTTTTAGTTACACAAACTCACTGTACAAGAAATACTGGGTTACCAAATAAGATTGAGCCCAATCTATCAATAATTATCAATGTTATATACATTTGCTCTTAGTGTCTTTTAACAACAAGACATTAATCGACCACATCCATCACACATGTATATACCAGTCAGAACTTCTACATAAGACGCTTGTCTCGATCTTTTCGTTCAACGACAACAAAGCTATATGACAAACATAATGATTTCAATTCCCCTACTGTGAATTTTCCATTTCTAGATAGCAACATCCCATTCTATGGTGTAAAGAAGTCGCTGTTGATTTTATATTCAATGTTCCGGTTATTACGATTTTTGTGCAAGGTGTCGTCAACTGGTGGACAAACTCGTAACACATGGTTTCAAAAGATGCATGGTGATGGAAATTATGGGGAAGATTTACGGTCGTCATGGTTACCTCATTGAGAAATATTTCATTTCTCATGGGCGATATGAAGTTAGACATGTTTCATGCTCGTTCATTTGGCTGTTGCCGTCGCTGTATAACTTGTTATCGTTCGAGAACGTCACATTGTTTACTTGGATTGATCATAATTTATATGGCGGCGTCGTCGATGGAGCAGAAGACGCTTAGTCTTCCGAAACGTCTTATTCTCCTTGTACATTTTCAGAATCTCCGTTTAAATCTTTATTTTCTTAATATTTTACCAAATCATGATCTATTTTCGACAAAATCTTGCCTTTCCTCCAGAACAGGAGGGGAGGTCAAACCCACCTTTTACACAAAACGAGTCCCCGTCACAACAAGGTTGATTTGGAACGAGTCCCCGCCACAACAAGTATGATTTGGAACGGGTTTCCTTCACAACAAGGATGATTTTGACGCTGCGGTATGGCATAAACTCGACGGTCCTTCGATCCAGATGAGTTAAAAACAAATCATGTTTCTTAGGCAATTTATAATCCATTTGTTATTGATTCCTGGTCATCCTATCACCCGCGATCACATGACACTCAGAGTCCTCTTCTCCATCAGAAGTCATAACATGTCCTTCCTGGAGGTCAGATTGTCCTTGGTAATTCCCCGGAGACAGGAGATGGGACTGAATTCACAGACTATCGCCCCTGTAGTAGCCAATAAGCGTGTTGCCGACACGTCTTGAAGCCTCAGTATCGATCCCTATAGACAAATTGTCAATTCACAGGGTTGTGTTACGTACAGAATTTCCGTAGGTCGTTTCAGGCCATTTCCTTATGAGAGTTAATATCGTTCAAATTCCAGGAGTTTTTACGATAAATCTCTGTCAAACTGTCAGTGTTTCCTCATGCAATGCTAATGATAAAAGAGATGAAAACGCTGTTTATATGGTGTTAGACCTATAAAGGAAATGTTGAAATGGCAGGGGAGGTAGTACAGGCATTCAATAGACAAGTAGATATTGAAGAACAACATCTAGTCATGTCGAGAACTGGTGATCAGAGGAAACATTAATTAAACTGTCAGGGCTTTCTATGAAAATGGTGCAGTATGCTGTAAGTTAACGAGATTCCAAAGGGACATATCGCTCACCTTTTCTTATCTTTATTTGTCATTTAAAATTGGATCGTTTTCTTTCTTTTTTCTTATTCTCTGTTTTTGATCTTAATAACGTGAAATTTTGAAAAAATCGTTTAAAAAATACCGAAATTAAGTGATTGTAAAATCTTCAGTTAGGCTTCTCTTTAGAACGTTGCTAATCACTGATAGTAATATTCAATTCTGGCAATTTTTGCAAAGCTTGGGTAACCGAATATTTAGGACAGTGGCCATGGCAGCCATTTCACTTCAGTTACTCAATCGAGATTTCTATCTCTAAAACATATACACAAAGGTGAAGGTCTTGTCTGTGTACCAGATTCCATTCATGGGAAATTTCATGAAATGCATTTCGGACGTGGCAAGGGTCCAAATTTCGTTAGAACAATTTATGGACTATACACAACTCATTAGTGAACGTTCTGTCTTGATAGACCTTTTGTTCGTTAAAACAAGCGATAACATTTTAAAATAGCCTCAATGGCATGGTGGCCATTTGAGAGTTCAAATATCTGACGGGAGCGTCTGAGGCCAAGCTTACCCAATCCTACTTTGGGATCCTGCGAAATTTTTGTCTCGATGCAGCTTTCTACTTGGAAGAAGTAGCGATATTAATGCTGATTTTCATAATGGCGGCAGTCCAAGATGTCAAACTGGTTTGTGCTTCATCAAAGATCAACTAATTATTACTTTTCAATAGTACACAGGTTTTTGTCTCCAGATGTCATTTTCTCATGGGTAACTATTACAATAAGCGTCATATACCAAACAACTAAGAGCTAAACTTTCTGAAACAAGTCATTGTGCAATCATGGCCGTTGGAAAAATAATAAAATTTTGTCGGCTTCGGTTGTTAAAATATCCCCATAAATTTCCAGCTCACTGGCACCTTTGGAACTGAAGTTTAATATGTTTAACATATGCACTTTTTAAAATGATGTTTGCCACCACAAAACTTTGATAATGAACATCTAATGATGATTAAAGGAAAGTTTGATCTAAATATCAATGATGGAACTAAACTCAGTTTTTCTCTGTGTTGAGGGAACGTAATAGTCATTGATGTTGTATAATGAACGCAGTTGCTGTCGTATAAAAACTCTGGAAAAGGATGAAAAATAGCACCATTTTGCCGACAGCATTTGTAAACATTCTACAAATGGCACCAGTGGTACTAGAGAAAGAGAGTTTAAAATGTATCTTTTAATGTGGCAGCTACGATGACAAGAGATCGTTTTGATATATAACAGGAATTAAATGTAGAAACATACTGAAATATGTACTGAATAGAAACATTAGGTTACCTGTGTTTCAAACTTGTCAAGTTCAAGTCGGGCTCTATTTCTTATATTGAATGCACTAATCATTAATAAATACCTAATTTGTATTCAGTAAACATGTCCCTACAATTACCTATATGAAATATTATCTCTGTAGCTAAAGCACTTAGTGTTAGATTAAATCTATTTAATACTCTAAAAAGGAGCGTTCACGGTTGTAAAAGAATCACATACACATGACTTGCATTGAATATTCTTTTTTATTGTACATTTATATGATCAGAACATGACTTGCCTATAGTGGCAGTTATGTCCCCTTATGAAGAATGACTGGAATTTATACATTTATATCCGAGAGCATTCCTGCATGTACACTTGTCTTGTAAGTAAAACAATAGTGGAAATAGTCACCAAGTTAACAACTGAAACATCCAATAACATATAATACATTTCTTTGTATTTTAGTTGAATATTAAATATAAAGCTAGCTTATAATTACAGATCATGTGACTAATCAATAAATATGACCTCAAACTGGGATTCAGCAGAAGAAATGAAACTTCAGCTGTTGCTATTTTTTGCTTAATTCTTTTTTCATTTATTTCGTTGCATTATTATCATTTCTTTTTTACTGTTGCTGAACACATGTATTGTTTAATTATCAAACCTTGAGCAAAAACTACTCTAAGTTCAATACATTCATGCTTCATTCATCAACAGCTGATTGTTGAATTCAATTGGAATTAAGCGACCATTGTCTAGAAATGCTTATCACAGACTGAGGGACCATTATTTAGAAATTTTCCAATCAGATATAAGAAACTATTTGATAACCTAGTAGTGCCTTCCATAGATAACCAAGAGGGACCTTGTCAAGTTATACACAATAGTCTCTCAGCTAGATATGTATGTAGGTACACGACCCTAATGTCTGAAATCTCAGTGGATTGGAGTCATGAGCATGATATTATCTTCCTGTGAAGTAAGGTAATTTAAATGCAATAAGCAAAACCATGTAACTAATGTATTGTACAATGCATATATAACAAAGACATTACATGTTTATCAATACATTATAAACGATTTAAGTTAATATCAAAGTAATTATCTCCTCTTTAATCTCAATCACTTTCCTTTACTGACATTGTCAGAATATTGATACACAGTAACTGCCTATGTCTTCAAACTTTCAAAACTCAGGTTGTGATTTATGCATCAGATAAGTTATATATATACATATGTATATTGAAGTACAAGTGTACTTTTGAATTTTAATTTTAACAAAAAAGCAAATTATTGATGATTTTACAATTTGTTTGGGTCCCTCTTAAATAACCTGTACTGAACAACACCAGTCTGACAAATTAAAATCTTATTACAATCTGTGACAAGGATACTGTATCATAATATCTAATTGATGGCTAGATAGACGAAGAAAGGAAATTTTATGCATTTCTGAACGATATTAACAGTTGTAGTAAAAATTGAGACAATTAACAATTTGTCTAAAATGATTTCTATCATGATCAATGAAAAACAAACAAATTTACATAAATATTGCAGACCTGAAAACAAATGCAATTAAGATGGTTATCACTCTACAAACAAATGTAAGTACGACAGATCTTACTCGGCGAACAAAAGGCAGGTAAGACAAAGCTTACTCTGTATGTAAAATGTACTAGTACATAATGTTGTGTAGGTTTTTTGTCCAAAACACAGATGTTCAAGATCTTCAACTTCCTGCTTTGGATTTCATATACTTTAGTACCTCTATACAAGATGAACACACAACATCAACAGTTACACGTGATAGGTATACCATTTTGTGGTTTTCTCCACCTTATGGATGTTGATCCCATCTGATATTTTTCTGGTCATAATGCTTTGGACATATTTTCTATCACTAGATTTCCCTCTCCATACATCTGACCAATGAGAACCTACAAAACAATATTGCATTTAGAGATCAATAAACATATTATGATGACATATAAATATTTGATATCAAATTGGAAAGTTTCACAGTTTTGCAGTATTTATAGCAATACCAGAACTGTAAGTTTTTCAGAAATGTTGTAGAAAATACTTGGATACATTGCAAATTATTTGATACATGTTTGTATTCTTAATATATCAGGCTCCTTTACATAGTTAAGTTGGAATTTTCCATTGTTCTAATGCAGAGAGAAAATATTACAAAAGATAAATCCCTACTAGTGTATGCAGAAGCTTAGGTTTGAGATTGGGATCACCAAACCAGGGAAATCAATATTATATTCGTAAGTATAAATTTTAATAGAACTCTGGACAAAAGACAACATGCAAAATATATAACATACTAGTATGAAGGGTTCTGAAAAATCTATTTGCTATCTCATTTCTATCTATATAAAACCTTCAAATTTTAGTGAAAAGGCATTCTGGCAATGTTTTATATGTGAAAAAACACATAAAAATATACATTACTGTTGAGTGCCTCGACCAGCAATTGAACCTGAAATGGCACATTATTTATAAATCATACATCAACTTTACTTTAAGGCATGTTTACGATGGCCACCATTCTCAATCTCTTGAGAAAGAACTTTTTGATAGGTTTACAGACACATGCTCAGAGATATTCTGCAAAGTGGTAGCCATTTTAAATGTCTTACAAAGTAAAGTTGCAGAGGAAAATGAGTGGAAATACTTGGTTTACAACATTTAACTGCTTTGACACATAAGAGAGCAAGCAGAAAAGTGTTGTATCTTTCCACCAATGTTTAACTTTCAACTATTGTGCTGTTGTAAACTATGTTAAACATTGCCTGAATGTCCGTCCTTGCAAGGGTTGCCTTAGACCAGAAATGTTTGTCTCTAAAATGATGATTTAATGTCAATATTCACGGTTTTTATCCTGTTATCAATATTAACATTTTTTTATTGACTATGCTCATTCTGAAATGAATAGGGTCTAGGATAGCCAGGGTTTGGTGTTTTAATTCTGACAAAGATAATATTGTGGATGCATGTAGATAGTCAGAACACTTTCATTCAGACTAATAACATACATGTAGATCCACTGCATATTTAAATAAATGTAAAAATGTACTTTCAAATCACTGTTCATCATATACTTTATTCTAACACTTTGTACTGTGGCTTTTAATGTTAGAAATTATATACAATTTCTTGGTACATATACATAAATGTTCATCACCTGTCGTTTCACCATATCCAAGTTGCTTTCTGCGTTTGTAATCAACTGCTTTATCACCGAAGGATCTGATTCATTTTTGTGTTCTCGGAAAGCATCTTTGGTCCGTCTGATTGCGTACATTCTACAAAAGCAATATAAGGCGTTTGCTCAAGGATTTCTTTACCAACTACTGACCAATCGAAGGGGCATAACTCTAATGTCTATTTGCATTAATGATTGTTCAATGCATGAAATGAAAGCACAATGTAATCACCCAGAAGAGAAACCAGTTATACGCATATAAATGTGTAATCAAAGACCATGCACTTATCGGCACGTGAAATGGACATTTTACCCGTTACACAACACCCGAACTTACTGAAAAAACTTTTTCACGTGGTGATTGTAAACAGCAATTATAAAAATAAACGACACTGACATCACCAGAAAACACTTCGGTACCAATTTTAGACGTAATTTGTATTAACTGAACAGCATTTGGATTACCTGTAATTGTAAGTATTGAATTTATTGCATTCTTTCAATAAATTCTTGTAGAGACTGATGACCTTGCTTCTACTAGCCGCCATATTGGTTCACGGGTTTTACGACAATTGCGAATATTATAAAACAATGTCACATTTGAGTTTTGTAACATGTTAATACTTATGACTCTGTCAACACATACATACCGCCGTAAGCTGTTCAAATATTGTTCTAAATGTACTGATAGTATCTGATCAGAGATGTCATAAAATATATTGTATAAACATTTCTGACAAATATGGCTGCGCCCATGTAAACCACGAACACTTTGAGTTTTGAAGGTGACAGTCGTTTTGAGCAATTGAAAGGTATATTTTTAGGATTTTACCGTTATAGCAATCATAGATACCATATATGTTTATTCAAAATTGAATTTCTGGATATAAATCAGTTCTATATATGAGGTCATGTATTAGTTAGCCGTATTCAGTATCAAAAACGATTTAGGGATATCGTTCTGGCCCTTCATATATAGTGACTTTCTCCAGTTTGACTCGTCACGCTTTGATTCCTAAGGTTGTATGTGTAACCGTAATACACTTAAGATCAATTTGATTTAGCTCCTATTCTGGGTTAAAGCATGACAAAAGTACCTTTTGTTGGCTGTTACAATCGATTATCAAAAAATTATGTATTAATATAACAAGCAAGTATTGAAGAGTCACATTACGTAGATAAATGACAAGTAATGACAATATATGGCTTCACATCAAACACACCTGAGGAAACATTTCATTTTGCAAGTTATGTTAAATTTACACAATATCTTTAACCTGTACATCAAAACATGTCGATGGAATAAAATTATGTAAAGCAATAAAAGTGTGTTACTTTCATGATCCACTTGTCTAAAATTGACTTATAATTAGGTGTAGGATAAGACTCACACACGATAAAACATATTTCAATGTTTTACGGTGTGGCAATTCCAGTACATTTTGTACCGGCATCATTCTGCGTCTGCATATGTGCATTTATTACTGATCAATTTTGTTAACAAAGTAAGTATTGAGTGTATAGAATGAAAATAAAATTCTGAAGCTAAGAATAATCATGTCTAATGTGTAAAACAATGATAAGGACTGATGGAACGATTTCTCCAAAATACTTAAAACACCCAAAACTACTTACAAACACCCAATAACCTACCTAAAACCATGCCTAGAAACAGGAAACTATATAAACATTGTTTATATAGTAAATTGTTTATATAGTAAAAAGATATATTCCATGTGAAATTATTACTCTCAATATTTTTCAGGAAACAAGACAATGCTTACACATTGATAACAGATATCTGCTTTACAAACAAAATATAATTATCTATTTAACAATTTCATTGAAATTCAACAACAAAATTCTTTTGTACTCCACATGGGTTTCAAAGTGTCTTAAATGGGTTCATTTTAAAGAGTATGTATCTGAAGTGAGCATTTGGAAAGTTAGATGTATGTTCTGCCAAATAGGACAGGCATATATTGGAAAAACAAGAGCAGGTTTACTCTTGGAACATCTCAGGATTTGGTCAGGGATACAAAGGAAATCCATCACAAACTCTCAACTTGGAGGAATTTTTATATTAACTAATATACAGGAACATTTCAATAATTTCTCCTTATGAAATGATAAACACAAAGTTGGGAAAGTACAAAATTTCTCTGAGGAAAAGGCATTTATTTGGCCCCAAATACCAATGTACCAAAAAATCACTGAATACAGTCACTCACCTTATGTTGTCTAATTCATTATTTCATAATGATACCAACACAATCATACACGCATATTGCTATCATGCACAGGTGTCTATTTTTAGAATGTATAATGTTATGCTTGCCTGTACTTTTTGCCCCTAGGTTAACATATCAAGTCAATGGCAAGTTTAGCAATGAAGTGGTATGATTCAGAATTTTTTATAAAGAATAGACAACCTATGTCTATGCTACTGTACTTTCAAAATGTTTGTTCTTAATTTGTAGTGAAATGTCTATGTGGACTTTCACTTTCAAATATGTGGTAATATTTTTTAACTTACTTACGTGTATACAGCAGTGTCCAAGTATTGTGAAGATTTTATCCTCGGTAATGAGATAGAGTATGTGTTGAAGTTCCAGTGCATCTTCTCTAATCCAATGATGTTCACGGCCATTATTATTATAGCAATATACAAAGTAGTACTAACATAGATAAACCTCTCCTCTTTTGGGCATTTAGACAATGTAATGTAAAGACTTTGAAATAAGTGTTGTTTAAGAAATATAATTACAACTTATGACAACAGAGTATTTGGAAAGAGATGCTTTATTTATTTTCATTGTTTGTAATAGCACCACCAATTAAAAAAACAGGAAATATGCATAAAATCTCACTTTCTGTTTACCAAACTTGTTGCTACAGCCTGAATGAATTGGCAAAGAATTAGATTTATTTTCGTTGTGTTTCAAATTCTATTAACTCTTGAAGAAAATAAACTCTGGCTGATACAGAGACATACATTCATACAGATATGTTGAAATATATGTAATTGTAACTGTATGCATATATATAATGTAATTTATAATTTCCCCTTCAGAAATGCAGTCCGTCATTCCATGGAGAAGAGGTGTTGAGGTATTTCTGCGACAGAAGAGAATATGTTCTTTCTGTACAAAGTCCCAAGTGTCACCTGAGACCACCACTGATACCATTACTGTCCAAGGGAAAGCCTATAACAGGGACAGCTGGACCAATGTAACACCAACTATTCTAAAGAAAGTTGGCAAGAACTTACATTGCCAAAAATATCATCCTCTTAACCTCATCAAATTACGAATCAATGACTTTTTTTACAAAAATTACTTTAACAAATTCCGAAACCCACTTTTTTCTGTGTATGATAACCTGAGTCCCATTGTAACACTTCATCAGAATTATGACAGCTTACTTGTGCCTATTGATCACCCAAGCAGGAAGAAAAGTGATAGTTATTACATCAACTCGGAGTACATGCTGCGAGCTCATACATCTAGCCATCAGGTGGACCTGATAGGAATGGGTCTGGATGCGTTTCTATTGTATGGCGATGTGTATCGCAGGGACGCCATTGACGCTAGCCATTACCCAGCTTTCCACCAGGTTGAAGGAGTACGACTCTACACTAAATACGAGGTAAATTTTCCAGACCCTCATATAGGTTATTTGTAAAAGTTTAAGTTATATTACCAACATCTTTTGTATGTTGCATATACTTAACTCTTAACAAATGTTGGATTATGTATAGTGTCAGCATATTCAGTTTCTCACAAAATTCCCCATGTACTTGGTGAAATCATTGCAAACACTAATTTTTGTAATATTCTATCAAATTAAAGGAATTAAGAAATCAGTGTGGAGAATTTGGTTGATTTGACATCAAGGCAGTGTATGTATCAAACAGATTTTTATTTGCTTATTTCTTCTGCTAAATTTTTTAAGTTGCAAAACTTTGTCATTTTAGTGAGTCAAACTAGAATGGCAAGTTTTATTACTACCAGGAACTGTCATTTATAAATGTACATAATACATGTTTATGATACCCTCCTTATTACCAAGAGGGGTTAAAGGTCACTATTGTCCTTTTGCTCTTTATCTAGTTCAGATGTTGTCTCCTACACTATTACTTACTGGAACTTTATACATGGGGCATTAGTTGAACTAGGTGAGGCGATGTGTCATTTACCATCTATCACTTACATTTTGACCTTTGACCTAAACTAGGAGTGCTTGATACCTGACCATCAATTTTAATTAATGATATTGCCTGTTGTAATAAGTAATATCGACTACTGAATAAGTTATTTAATAGTAAAGTGACACAACTGTCAGTATACGTCCAGCAGATTTATCTGCATTAGTAACACTAACATAATTTCTTATTGATTACAATGGGTCTGTCAAACATTCAGTGTTTAGAATTAGTTCCTGCATGAATTCATTGTATAATTTCACATATGGTGGGGGATTATTTTCCAGATTGTCTTGTTTGAAAACTTGCTTTTGTAAAATGTGAAAATATCTTAACGGTACAAGCTGTTGAAATAAAAGATGTACATCTGTAGTAACATGTGGTCACTCTCTCTAGTGTCTAAATATAAACAGATAAAGAATATGGTTACATTTTATTGAATTTTGAAGTGTTGTGATATAATGATGCACTATTAAAATTTTTGTTATTTCAGCTTTTTGATAAATCTGTAGACAACGATAGATTGAATCTGCTTGTTATTTCAGCTTTTTGATAAATCTGTAGACAACGATAGATTGAATCTGCTTATTATTTCAGCTTTTTGATAAATCTGTAGACAACGATAGATTGAATCTGTTTGAAGATGGCCATCGTCTGCCCACAAAACAGGAAAGTCACACTCATGAATCATCAATTACACTGGAACATGACCTGAAAAAGACATTGGAAAATCTAACGCTTCATTTATTTGGAAAAGGTATACTGCTCCTAACTTCTAATGATGTTCCTCACTCTGTCATAGTCAATAAGAAATGTACCAGGACTCATTTTATGAACAAGTTTTAATTTGAGGAAATTTGCTGGCTCAACGTACTGTTAAGTCATTCCATACAAAAGCATTCTTATAATTAAGGAATAATTTGGTTAAGGTAAACTCATACACTAGTATAGAATGTAACAAAATTTATTTGAATGCATGTACCTGACAGAAGGAAATTATGAAGTTATCAGTTAAAATACGTAAGTTATGTACTAACAGGTGCTGACATACAAAATAGATATTTTGATGTCATTCATGTACATTTGTATTTCAGATATTGAGATTAAATGGGTAGATGCCTATTTTCCATTCACCCATCCATCCTGGGAGCTAGAAATTAAGTTCCGTGGGGAGTGGATGGAGGTCCTAGGCTGTGGAGTCATAGAACAGAAAATTATGCATACAGGTAAGTACATGATAGACATGGTAATTTATAAACCTTTGAGCAATTTATGGTGATGTCTACTATATAGTTTGCCATCTATAAGCTGTACTGTATCTCTGGTGATTTGTCACTACGATCATGATTATGATGAAATTAAAGGTATCATGATTGGAACCAAGCTGGGTCCAGACTATGTTGTCATTTTTATAGATTACACCAGAAAAGATTTCCTTTGCACAGTGGTTATATAAGTTGGAGATTTTTTCCATTTGGTCACACTTTCTGTAAAGTCATCCAATCAAGCCTCTCAATACAATCAAGTTTATTATTCCAGATACAACTTTCTACAAAAGATGAGAGTGAAGTGTAGGCAGTAAGGAACTAAAATAAAGAATATTAATAGTGCTTATGCCGGCCCTTGGCTTTTGGAATAGAATTTCAGCAAATGAAAAACATTTTTAATTCAACAGCCATGAGATTTCATGTTGGCTTTAGCTATAAGTATATTCATCATGCACAATTTTTTATGAACAGGTCAATGCATTTTTCAAAGTTATCCCCCCTGGCCTGATTTTTCCTAACATTTTGAGGAAAAAAAATTTAGTGGTATCATGCTATTCCTTAAGGGGTCATCTTTTGGTGACCTTTTCACCCTCTGTACTTCACAAAAGTGAACTGTCTAATGGACAAATTCATCTGCAGCAAGTCATTTTGTTACAACATATAGGTCAGTGTGATTAGAATTCAGATCCTAGTTCTTGCACTGTTACTCTCCACATAGTGGGAAAAGTGATCAGCATTTTCATACGATTGACATGTAGATATGCTCTAGCTTTTGGCCACAATTACTGGCCTAATGGCTTAACAAACAAATGGATTATACAAGCTGTTTTGTCTACCTTCATTTACATTAGTGATTCAGATTTAAAGACTGAGGGGTACAAGCAATGTTTTTGACTAATGCAAAGGTATACAAGAACATGACCCCTGAATTAGGATCTGTATTTTGATATAATTGGTTCAAAAGATATTTTAGCCAAGTAGTATAAAAGCCCATTTGACTGCTTGTTCATCTTAATTCTATTTTATTTGCACTGTAATTAAAAAAGTATGACCAATGCAGATAACCCAGTCTACAAACTATCGTCTAACTTTCATCATCACATCCTGTGCCATGTGTGACCAGTATTTAATGTGACATACAGACTGACAAGTATTGACATAAAACAATAGATATACACAAAATAGATTTTGATGATGCAAACACCTAAACTAAACTGGCAAAATAATACACAGCAAAATGCAGCTGGTCAAGGATATGATGTAGAAGGAGAGTACTAAACAGGGACAAGGGGGCCACAGATTTTCACTCATTTATGTTAGACAAAGTGTAGCCAAAGCATCAGTAGTACATAGTTACCGTCTTGTGGAAGATGTTTACCATCTCACACCTTTTTCTACCCAGGTTACATAGGATTATAGTGCAGCTAAAACATTGGCCTTTTTTACCTTCTTGTACACTACATACATTAATTCTAGTATGCTCCACACTGATCGCTTGTCTGATGAAGGTAGTCATGGGAATGTCACATTTAAATCTTCTACTGGTCATGTTAAAAGAACTTCAGTTTTATTGACATTACCAACCTGAAGAAAATGTTGCAAAATACCAAAAACAATAACAATTTCCACCTCATACAGTATTGTTGAAAATTTACTCATTCCTAGTCGGTGACTGTTTTTGTATGAAAATTGTTACTCTGAAAAAAAATTCCAACCACTTAAAAGCACAAATCTGATTTCAGTCTAAATGTTTTTTGCTATCTTCAGCATAGAATATATATGTTTATATGTATTTTATTTCATTTAGCTGGAGCAGCTGACAAAGTTGGCTGGGCGTTTGGTCTGGGGTTAGAACGCCTTGCCATGAAACTGTATGAGATTCCAGACATTCGTTTATTCTGGAGCGAAGATTCTGGATTTCTTTCACAGTTTGAAGTTGATGACCCATATTCTCCTGTTATCTACACAGTAAGTACAGTAAAAATTACAGTAAAATTGTTACCGTCAACTGGTGCTATTTATTTCTTTACTATTTTCAAGGATAGAAGAAGGTAAAAAAATTGATTGAAAATCAAACCATAAAAGAAACTGAAAGGCCATTACGTATGATTTTAAGCTGTTGATAATTAAAATCATTAAAAATCATAATTTACAGTGTTTTGCTAATCATTTTAACTAGATATGAAACAGAAGACGTAATACCATATACCTCTTACTTGTCAAGTTTCTCTGAAGTTCGAATGTGTCAAATGCTTTTTTTGAAATAAAATCTTCCTCAAACAAGAAATTAATATGTAGCTTGCGATATCAAAGATATTCACTTTCAAAGTTGATTTTGGTATAAAAGAAGCAATTTTGTTTGGACCTCTGGATCTTAAGCACTATCACTTTAAAAGCTGAAAAAGGTCAAATAAATTTTAATAGATTTGACAGCCCCCTATCCCTGCTTGTTACTGACAATACATCCTAATATCTTGTTTATTCAGGGACTTCAGTATGTTTACCGTAACTCAGTTTGCATTGGAATTCACTTCAGATGAGAATTTGAGTTGTGTAGTTGGATGATCCCAATCCAATGTGTTTTGTTTCTCAGGAAGCTGTAAAATTAACCTATTCTGTCCTGTAGTGGTAATGTCCTTGGGCACATGTGACAGGCCTCACATGTATGGTGTTCATGAAAGTAGCCACCAGCTACTATAAGGTGACTCTGCATCAAAATGACACTAGTAGTTTGTTAACTCCACAAACAATGTTTGTTATTTGCAGAAGATACCACCCCTCCAATTTCCATTTATTTTTTCCTTTTCCTTTCCCTCCACCTATTAACCCCTGTTTCCATTGTCTCTTAATTATACCTTATGACATCTGACTGTTCCATGCCCTTTGCATCCAACTGTTTAGCTTGCCTCCCCATGTCTCCTTGTATGTCTTTTTTGGCATCCACACATTGTATTGTTCCCTACTTGCCTCTGTACCTCCTCATCACCTCTATTACATGCCTCGTTCTATCTTAATGTTACAGAAAATTGATATTTTACCTCTGAAATGTTGCAAAAAATTGATATTAACAATTTTTAGAATGATTTCTTCTTTATTTCCAGCCTGTTAATTATTTCTTCTTTATTTGCAGCCTGTTAGTAACAATCCACAATGCATCAACGACATTTCTTTTTGGATCAACCAGAAGAACTTTTCGGAAAATGATTTTTATGACTTGGTTCGGGCCGTTGGAGGGAATATAGTGGAACAGGTACATTTGATTGACACATTTTTCCATCCTAAAAAGCAGCGCCACAGTCAGACCTACAGAATAGTGTATCGCCATATGGAACGTCCACTCACTGGAGAGGAAGTCAACACAGTACACCAGGAAATCAGCGTTAAGGCTACACAAACTCTAGATGTAGATATAAGGTGAAAAAGTGTGCAGAAAGGATAGAGCTAATATATATATATGTGAATAAGATGTTAAACTGCTGCTACATGTGAACAGCTCTAAAGTTATTAGGTGTTTAGTAAAAATAACTTTACAGTGCTCTCAGTTACAAGGATCAAAAGAAGCATATTTGGTTTTAACAATGATATGGAACAATTTGTGTTGTTTTGTATTATTTGAAACATATGTATGTTATGCTTGTGAGAACATGTTATTGGCTGTGAATTGTTACTGTGAAATTTGATACCTGAAAGATGTAAAGAAGATTAAAAGTTTCCTCTACTTACACATGTTAGAATTGGGTTGGATTAAATAAAATGATACATGTGCTTTATGAATTAGAACAATTTCACCCTTCTCTATTTGGGTGTCGCCAAAAAAGCAGTTTGCTGTAGTAAACAAACTGTACAGTGTCGTCAGTAAAACACAATTTGCTACAGTATACAAACTGTACAGTGTCTCCAGTAAATACAGTTTACTTCAGTATACAAACTGTACAGTGTCGTCAGTAAAACACAATTTGCTACAGTATACAAACTGTACAGTGTCGTCAGTAAAACACAATTTGCTACAGTATACAAACTGTACAGTGTCGTCAGTAAAACACAATTTGCTACAGTATACAAACTGTACAGTGTCTCTAGTAATACACAATTTGCTACAGTATACAAACTGTACAGTAAAACACAATTTGCTACAGCATACAAACTGTACAGTGTCAAACTGTCAGTAAAACACAATTTGCTACAGTATACAAACTGTACAGTGTCGTCAGTAAATCACAATTTGCTACAGTATACAAACTGTACAGTGTCGTCAGTAAATCACAATTTGCTACAGTATACAAACTGTACAGTGTCGTCAGTAAAACACAATTTGCTACAGTATACAAACTGTACAGTGTCGTCAGTAAAACACAATTTGCTACAGCATACAAACTGTACAGTGTCGTCAGTAAAACACAATTTGCTACAGTATACAAACTGTACAGTGTCGTCAGTAAAACACAATTTGCTACAGAATACAAATGTACAGTGTCGTCAGTAAAACACAATTTGCTACAGTATACAAACTGTACAGTGTCGTCAGTAAAACACAATTTGCTACAGTATACAAACTGACAGTATACAAACTGTACAGTGTCATCAGTAAATCACAATTTGCTACAGTATACAAACTGTACAGTGTCGGTAGTAAAACACAATTTGCTACAGTATACAAACTGTACAGTGTCTCTAGTAATACACAATTTGCTACAGTATACAAACTGTACAGTGTCATCAGTAAATCACAATTTGCTACAGTATACAAACTGTACAGTGTCACCAGTAAATACAATTTGCTACATTATACAAACTGTACAGAGTCTCCAGTAAATACAATTTGCTACATTATACAAACTGTACAGTGTCTCCAGTTATACACAATTTGATAAGTATACAAACTGTACAGTGTCTCCAGTAAACAATTTGCTACAGTATACTAACTGAACAGTGTCTCTAGTAAAACACAATTTGCTACAGAATACAAATGTACAGTGTCGTCAGTAAAACACAATTTGCTACAGTATACAAACTGTACAGTGTCGGTAGTAAAACACAATTTGCTACAGTATACAAACTGTACAGTGTCGTCAGTAAAACACAATTTGCTACAGTATACAAACTGTACAGTGTCGTCAGTAAAACACAATTTGCTACAGTATACAAACTACAGTGTCGTCAGTAAAACACAATTTGCTACAGAATACAAATGTACAGTGTCGGTAGTAAATCACAGTTTGCTTCAGTATACAAACTGTACAATGTCATCAGTAAAACACAGTTTGCTACAGTATACAAACTGTACAGTGTCTCCAGTAAACAATTTGCTACAGTATACTAACTGTACAGTGTCTCTAGTAATACACAATTTGCTACAGTATACAAACTGTACAGTGTCGGTAGTAAAACACAATTTGCTACAGTATACAAACTGTACAGTGTCGTCAATAAATACAGTTTGCTGCAGTAAAGGCACGGTATACCAGCTCAAGTCTTAAAACCCATGGATTGTCCCCTAAATAATCACATGAAGAGAATCATGTTTATCTGGTAGTGAAAAGAAAGCTTTTTAAAAGTGTAGGCACAGAGAGCTGCCAATAAAGTTATATTCATTTTGTGACATATAACTGCCACTATTTCCTAAATACAACCGGCTTAGAAAAGACATATTTATTTATTATTTCGATATTAAATGTTTTCTGTGATTTCATCCTCGGTATTTTTCTGCCTCCTGCCTTCACGAGAAAAGTTCTAGTATGGTTCACAACATATGCACGACGATGTCGATTTCCCTATGGTGAATATTCGATAGAGTTGAATTTAAAACTTGATATAATAGGAAACAACCGATGCTATAACGCCATCGGTTATGTCAGAAAGTTTTATTTAACATTATTGTCAAAATATCCATCTAATGTTTGTAAAATTGATTTGGATGGACGTGTGTTATTGTCAAGCGTCGATTCTCTGTCTAATCCCGAGATCCACACAAGTTTTCCCGAATTCTCCGCCGAATGCCGCCCTTGTATTTGTACATCTGGTACGTTAATCTTTCCTCTTTATCATGGGGATACCATTCTCGAGATGGAGTGACAAGTATCGCCATTCTCTGCAATACAAAAAAATATATATATTAAATTCACCAAACTCATATAAACCTTTTGTTAAGTAAAATTTCCAATGGAATTGCTCGCAATTTCGATGTTAAGTGCGCAAAAAGAGTAAGTTTAAGTGTGATGACTTTATCCGTGGATAAGATTGCTGCTTTTTATTACATGGTGTGGTACTGTGATTTTTATTTCAACAGAAGTTATTTAATGTTATGAGGTAACCATTTCGGAGATTTCAAGTCGTTAATTGAAAGCTTTTCATATTCTAAACTATATTTGTAATATATTCAGAGCAAAGTATTTCAAAGTCAGCGTGGTATAAATAAATATTTAATTTGTTTAATTCAAAATCCATTAGAAATAAAAGCACTGACCTCCTTTATCGTGCCAGGCGTTTGCAGAAGTCGTTTACAGGCGATGAATGGGACAGGGATTACACAGATAAGAGCAAGGACTATCCCAACAATGCCAAGGTATTCTGGATACTTGTATCCCTTGTATATAGGAGGTTCAAACTTAATGACCACAGTAACTAGAGCCATCTAGGGAGACAGAGAAGAAAAATCGGCATTCTATATTACAACATATATTATGTAAATAGATTAACAGCTTATCCGACACCAAGTTTTATCTTGTCATTAGCTGTATCGGGCATCCAATGAGAAAACAGTCTTATGTTAAATTCTCGCTTAGTATGACAAGTTGGGTAACCAAATTATACAGATACGTTTGATGTATTGTGGACTGATCGGGTCCTTACCATCATAACTAGGGGTGTAAGAATACACCACGATATACGGATAAGTACTGAAGCCTTCTTTCCAGTCATCAACTCAATGTCCCGACTGAATCTCTCCGCCCCTGGAAAAGTTCACCAAAGTTATCTTAATGTAAGCAAAAAGTGTGTCAAAACGTCAATAATAGTGACATAGTTAAAGTTAAGTACATAACATCTGCTTGATCACTGTACAAATGTTCTGACAATGTCCTTGATATATATACATAAATTAGGATTTCCACCTAACAATATTAAATTCCATTAGCATGAAAAAATGCCGAGGTAAAAGGTCAAATAAAACCCGGTAGTTCGGGGAATCCTCAATACGTTTGTATTAACTATATATTAAGGACGAGCTTGGCGAAGGAAGTTTCTACTTATAAAGTGAACTCTTTATAGATGTATTTAGAGCTTGTTACTATAACTTAAGTTATTACCATACAACCAGCCGGCGATCATACATTCCAGAAATGACAAGATAAAGATACAAAACACAGACAGGTACCAATCGATGAACTGGAATAGATATACTCCACCCTGTAAAAATGGATAACGCTGGTATACATACATGACCTGTAATAGAATTTCACAAAGTACTACAGAAAATGGACCATTCCACGTCACAACCTAATCAGCAAATACATTACATTACATACACAAAACATTACGTAAGTATGTCCTCTGATTAAATCGGTAGTTATGTAAGAAAGAAACGGTATTTAATGATTTATCGTTTAAGTTTCGATAGTTTGAATGTTCAATAAATGTTGCAGGATCGATGCGAGGAACATGGAGCTTTGGTATTCTATTTTGGAAGATAACCACCAGAGATACATCGTTATTTAACATTTAAGATACAATGACCCTTATGACAGCATGCAGTCAAAAGCCAAATTATGGATAATCGTTGCTTTTAACAGGATAGTTGTTTTGTGTTCATCTCCTTATACTGCTTCTTCAACTTACAGTGTTTACATGTATCAAGTGTTTCGAGCTTGATCCCATTATCATGATTTCTGGATTGCAACATTCCCAATTCCCCAACCTTAGTGTTTACATGTATCAAGTGTTTCGTTTACATGCTGTTTCGTTCCCATTATCATGATTTCTGGATTGCAACATTCCCAATTCCCCAACCTTAGTGTTTACATGTATCAAGTGTTTCGAGCTTGTTCCCATTATCATGATTTCTGGATTGCAACATTCCCAATTCCCCAACCTTAGTGTTTACATGTCGCAAGTGTTTCGAGCTTGATCCCATTATCATGATTTCTGGATTGCAACATTCCCAATTCCCCAACCTTAGTGTTTACATGTCGCAAGTGTTTCGAGCTTGTTCCCATTATCATGATTTCTGGATTGCAACATTCCCAATTCCCCAACCTTAGTGTTTACATGTATCAAGTGTTTCGAGCTTGTTCCCATTATCATGATTTCTGGATTGCAACATTCCCAATTCCCCAACCTTAGTGTTTACATGTCGCAAGTGTTTCGAGCTTGTTTTCTGGATTGCCATTCATCATGATTTCTGGATTGCAACATCCATGCAAGTGTTTCCAATTCCCAACCTATCGTGTTTACATGTCGCAAGTGTTTCGAGCTTGATCCCATTATCATGATTTCTGGATTGCAACATTCCCAATTCCCCAACCTTAGTGTTTACATGTCGCAAGTGTTTCGAGCCTGTTCCCATTATCATGATTTTTGTGCAAGAAATCGTTATCTGACGGACTAACTTGAAACACAGGGTTTCAAAATATGCGTTATAATGAAAAATATGGGGAAGTTTTATGGTCGTTACAGTGGAAGTGTCCGGCTAGATAACAGCATCTCCGGAATATTAAAATCAGTTGTTGGTCCTTTGTATGGCTTCATTTTAACTGAAGATTAAAACAATAAATGTGCACACCATTGCTGTTCATAAACAATGTATTGATAATCAAACTATTAAGTAAATAAAGTTGAACGTCTTTGCAATGCTGATAACTATTTTCGGAAGTACTTCAATTCCATATTGTAAAGTGTTGATTCTCACCTGTGTCGCAAATATAATGCCGGTAAGTAAAAATAGGACATAGAAAAATACGATAAGATGTGGTTTCTTTTTTCCGAGAAATCTAGGGTACATATCGGCAAATCCACTGATGGTCGCTTCAAGGACACCAAACTGCGAAGACAACAGACATTGATACTATCGAAAATACATCTTTAATCAAAGTGATACGTACATAGTGACAATTTGATGGAACTTTTATTTCACATTAGCGTTTGATGCAGACAAGATGAGTGCAATTCTTCAAATCGGATACGTGCTTAATCTTTAAATGTTCCATGTTTAACTGTTTAAATTTAAACATGCTGGCTTTTTAAAATTTAATTGTTGCCCACTTTTAAAAGAAATAATTTTACCTGACTATCGAGTCCAATGGTAAACAACAGGAAGAAGAAAATGACGGCCCACAGTTGTGGTAGAGGCATGCGAGCAAGGACCTCTGGATACACTAAAAATACCAGGCCAGGACCTGTCGTAAGGAAACATTAACACATACAAATTTATCAAGAAATATAATGACACACAGAAAATTCCAGTTGATAGTAATGCAAGTGCAGCTGCAACGGCAGGCATGGTAAAATGAGGTGAGGGTTGTCACCTACAAATGTCACACATTGTTTTCTAGAAAAAACATTTTATAAAATCAGGAAAGCTGTAGTAACTAAATATAAGTAGCTGATGGTTTGCAGTTGTTGATAATGTTGTTGTTGTTAACGATATTGAAAATGAGAGTAACAAAAGATCGCCAACCCCAAAAACAAAGAACAAGGACATAGTCATTCAGACCCCCCCCCCCCCCCCCCCCCCCCCCCCCCCCCCCGTTCATTTGTGAAATATACACATTTGAAGTGAGCAACTTGGAAAACTGGAAGGGATATTTAGGTCACAGGAACCTAATTAAATATGTGCCAAATTTGCCGATAACGAACAGCTGATTAAATAATCATAATTCATTTATTCCTTCTAAAGGTAACGTGTGGAAATTAGTCAGTTAGATAGCCTAAAAATATCAGCCAATCAGGTCACAGCAATCTCATAACATATGCATATAATTTGCTGTTAATCGAACATTAATTAAGGTAATACGTATACAAAGCAAGTTTCCTTAAAATCTTATCATTCCTTCATAAGATAATTTACAACAAGTTTTCCCATTGATTTAATAATTTAAGAAATCAGTCAATCAGATCACTACAACCTCATGAAACATAAGCGGAATTCGCCGCTAATCAAACGTTGGCAAAAGATATCATGCGGAAAGCAGCATCCGGACAGACAGATGGACGGAGGGACGGACGGAACACATTTGAATGGGGATGAATATAAGGAGAACGAAATGATAGAAATTATATAGTTTCTGGTTGACAATATCTTGATTATTTTTGGCTTCATACAAGATCAAATTTATCGAAGAGCTTTATCAAAGCAGGTCACAAAGACTAGATATATTGCACCGTCTTATCTTTTAATAACAAGAAATTTCCTTTCCATGTCCATCGTACATACCCACCAGAAATGGAAATATAAAGATACGACTGATTCTACTCAAGCAACCTATCTCGATCTTTTCCTACAGTGAAACCGACATCGACAGCTTTCCACCAAGCTGTTTAACAAGCGTGATTATTTCAATTTTCCTATTGTGAAGTTTCCGTTTCTGGATAGCAACATGACGGCACCACCAAACTTTGGTGTTTGCATGTCGCAGTTAATTCCTGTTGCAATTATCACGATTTTCGTCCAAGAAGTCGTAAACTGACGGACAAACAGGTTTAAAAATACGCAGGTTGATACAAAATATGGAGACGTTTTACGGCCATCATAGTGATGTCATCGAGGTGTTTCATGATCGTTGGTTTGCCTGCTTGTTCTTGTTCTGGTGTCGTGTCACTACTTACTCGGATTGACAAAGATTTACATGATGGGTCGATGAAGTAGAAGACTCTGACTCTACCGGAAGACCTGATCTTATTCTCTTCGTAATATTTACAGGAGTCTCAGTGTAAATATTTCGCTTGTTCATATTTTGCTTCAGTTTTAATGAATTTGAATTATGTTTACATGTTGGAAAAAAACAATATTAAACAGGACAAGTGATAATACAAATGCATCATTGAAATATATGTTGATACAACAAAATATAAATTGAGGGGTTCGAGATATCCATATAATCTTGGAAATTCTAAACTTGGTCAGGTATATCATACGATTTAAGAGACCAACCTGATTCTGCAACCTCTTCAATGGAGAGATTAGCCTCATAAGCTAGGACTCCCATAATGGAGAAAACAACAAGACCACATAGAAAGTTACTGAAGGTGTCGACTGCGACGATTAGCATGGTGCTCCTGTTAGAAAAAACAGATGAATACATATCAACATTTATTCATTTACATTACATATGACGCTTTCACATCTTGGTACTGCTTCTGCTTTCCGCGACCTGAAAAATATACTACCGTCGAAATAAACATATCCTGGTTAGAATAGAATATGTTCAAAAGTTGAAATTGTTCGATCAACAATCTGTCTGGATGATTATCATCAATGTGCATAGATACCTTGAAGTGGAAAACTCGCTGACAGTCAATCTTCGAAAGAACTGAAATCATAATAAGCTGAAGGCTGGACAGTCTTATAGTTTCTTTAGAGATTCAAACTCTGAAAGAAAAATCCTTAAATACCTCAATAAGTTTCCATGGAACTTCTGATAGCTAGCCATGGTGACGACACCTCCCCAGATTGGTCCAAGCGAGTAGAAAACCTGTAAAGCCGCTTCTAGCCATACCTAATTTGGAATAAGATAAGAAAATTGTGAGTTTTACTTTCTCTTTTTCATATTTTTCCCGGTCATGTGCCAATTTGCGTTGAAGCTCCAGATGACTTTATCAAGGGAATTTTTGTCCTTCTTCCTGTTTGATCAACAAGCAACAGCGTCTGAGAAACAATACAGCACATCTAATAAAAATAAGGAAAGTTGATAAGTTGATGACGTGTACAGTTAATCTGTCTCATTAGAACACCAGCAATGCACAATATCAAGGAATTATATTAGGAATGTTATGCCACGTCTTAATTTACTCGAATGGTGGCATGTTTCAAAATATACACATGGAAATCACCATTTCGAAATCATCAGATATATGACAACAGCGAAATCGATTGAATCATGGGTCTAGTGCGCTACTCCCTCAAGATTTTGACTTTTTTCGATCATTTTCGCCCGCCAGGCGTCAAAACCTAGGACTATAGCATCACTGACGAGTCCTAGAAGGACAGCACATTTTGATTTATTGTGGATCTACTATATCTAGAAAGTACTATTCACACATTTTTTGTACAATCTTTATACATATAAGTGGGGGAAAACAGTTGATTTACAAACCTGAAGAACGATATACATGTAGTGTTAAATTATACAAATGCTCCATCTGTAATCAGAATAAATCTGATATAAAACAAAATCCAAATACTTTAATAGACCAATAAACATCCCGTCAGTGTATCGGATTGAATTGCAGTTATAATTAAATAGCACCAGAGTCATCTATTATACGCTCCAGTTTGGCAGTAATATCGAAGTCAATAATTGAACTTTTTTGTTCGTTTCTTTTTTAAACTAACAAATTAGATAAAAATACATTCCTGGTATCTGTGCGCAAATACTTTCAACTGGTACACCTCAGTAGGTTTAAATGACTGGTGACCGAAAGAATGTAGCTCAGATCTAAATAAATATAACAATCAATTTTGCAAGCATAAGCTACAAAATAAAGTAAATGTGTTAAGGTTTCAATTGAATTGTTTGTTTCAAATATCCTTGACTCTTATTTTTTTAAAACGCAGACTAAATAAAGAATACCTGGAAGTGCCAGAGTCTGGAGAAATCCGGTGCCAGATACATCAATACTCCATCAAAAGATCCCGGAAGGCACAAACTTCTTATCAGTATCACAATCAGTAAGACGAAAGGCCCAATGACTGTCACGTATACAACCTGAAAAGTTACCGTTTGATTTAAGCCGATGATACACTGAAATGGTTATCACATACTTGTATTAATTATGTTTTAATTTTTGAAAATGTAGATAAACTTGCAGGAATATGTTGCGCGAGCAAATGTTCTGTAAACGATATAATGTACCAAAAGTAACCAACCACCATTAAGACGCAAATAAGTCATTATAATTAATGGACGTCCGTAAATTGTGATAGGTAGTGGTAGATTATATTGAACAAGTTTATTATCTAATGTTAAATATTTAATGTTTACTTATTTTTGTTTATTCTTTATTATTATCGTACGTCCATTTCATTGAAGTGATCTGTAATATCATTAGGGCTTTTCACTAACTGGTGAAAAGACCTATTGTTTTTGTTATGTTTCTTATTATTATTATTCTTTTTCTTATTCTTCTTCCAATTTTGTGGGTTCGTAATCATTTAAATTGTAAAAGCTAGACATACAGTCTATTCACCTATTTGTTGATACGTATATAAAGTTGTCGATGCCGATTTTTTAAGTAGGTCAAAAATCCAATATGACAGCCATGACGTCATAAGTTAAAAACTGAAAAACGACAATATCTCGAAAACCATTGATTGTGCAGAGTTTGTGCAATACTATTATTTGTAGAGAATTTTCATATCTAACTTTTATTCATGCCATGTTAATACAAAATATGTCCAAAAAAAAGCTCACTGTGGGGTAAATTTTTCAAAATTTAACATTTTTTTTTCAATTTTAAATTTTCTTGAAATTTTCTTCTTCAGATCGATGCAGAACGTCCTTCCGATGAATTTAGTGTTTTCAGTTCTTCTGAAACGTTTACCATTTCCGCTGTACGCCATTTTGAAAATTTTCTTTGATCTTTTAAAAATGCCGACAAATAGGAAAAACTCGTTCTAGATCAATATTGATGGACTATATCTTATCAAATTGTTACTGGGAAGATTTCCCCAGATGTCTTCTACCATTTAGTAACAAATTCATCGCAAAAACAAAATGGCCGCCATGACGTCATTTCCGATTTATCTAAAATGCCGTAACTCAAGAACTGTTTAAGCTAGTGACCTCAGTTTTAATCATATTATGTAAATTAAAACGAAAACACTTTTCACAAGAAAATAACTGGGATCAAAGGTCAACTTCCGGTTTTCGGTAGGGGTCAAAGTTCAAAAGTGTTATTTTCAGTTACAAATTTTCACAAACTTCTTCTCAAGTTCTGCAAAGAATTGGGTCTTGATATTTCATGTGTATGATGTCTGTTTAAATATCTATCAAGTTTGTTAACATAAATGACCTTGACCCACTTTCAAGGTCACAGGGGTCAATTATGTAAAAATCGTTAAATGGTTATTTCTCCATTGTTAAGTTGCCCAAAGTCTTCAACTTTGGACATAAATATTCTGCGGACATTTCCTGTCGATTGATATAAGAGAAACGTACCTCAAACTTTAACTTCCGGTTTGCGGTAGGGGGTCAAAGGTGAAAAGTACTATTAAGGGTACCAATCTTTGAAAAACTTCTTCTCAAGTTCTGAAAGTCCTAGAGGCTCTATATTTCATATATATGAAGCATATGTAACTGGCAACAAAGTTTGATAATATAAAAGACCTTGACCGAGTTTCAAGGTAACAGAGGTCAATTAACTAAGAATCGTTAAATGACAGTTTCTCACTTTCTAGAAGGCATACAATGATGAAAATTGATTAAAATCCTTCTGTGGACACTTCCTATTGATTGTCATAAGAAAACCTTCCCTCAAAATGTCAACTTCCGGTTTCCGAAAGGAGTCAAAGTTCAAATATACAAAATAGGGTACCAGTGTTCAACAATCTTCTTGTCAAGTTTCACAAGGTCTAGAGAACTAATATTTGGGGCATATTGATCATCAGATGTTACATTATAAGGCTTGCAAATATGAATAACCTTGACCGACATTCAAGGTCACAGGGGTCAAATATGTTTGAACTTTTAAAAAGTGTATTTCTTCGTTATTATGTAGTTTTATCTCCTTAACGTTTCAAGATACAAAGTTCATCTTTGGGTATGTTGTAGAGACTAACAAACGTGGAAACTTTCCCATATATTGTTATCAGGATAAATGTCAACTTCCGGTCAACTTGTCGCCAAAGAAGTGAAAAGCCCGCAAAATTGTAAACAACAATTTCTAGTTCTAATCATTCTAGTTATATGGTATGCTTACCTTGCCAACAGATTTCACTCCCTTTATGATGCAGAGAAAGGTGGATGTATAGGAGAAGATCAATGCAATTACCAGATGCCATTGAATGGATCCCCAATCTTCTATTCCTGATGATTCGTTCAATATTTTGTATCTAAATTACCACAGGAACATGTTTATTAATACATAATACAAAAAAATCTATACAAATACTCTAGGGTCTCAACACCTGTCTTGAACGCATGCAGCAGTGGAAACTTACTTTCAAGAATGTTGTTGTGATATTGCAATTACATTCACATAGTATATATTAGAGAAGTAACTGAAATGATGTCAGTTACTTAATATGGTTTATTTTTTAATATTTGTATTACCTTGTTGCTTTATCGATATTTAATCGGATTTGTTTGGTTGATGAAATGTTGATAGACAGAGAGGACCTTCATTATTCATTTATATGATATTTCAGATGTTCCTTATGTACATGTATATATGCACGTTCATTTATATATGTATATCTAAGTTTTGAAATAAATTCGAAATTAAAATTGCTATGTTAATCACTGTTTACCTAAAAACCAATTTGTTAAAAAGAAATTTGCAGAATATTGTACATACCGCCAGAATTCGGTGGCGGCGGTTGGATAAAAATCTTGTTGGATCTGTGTCGATTTGTTAGAGAGAGATCCGGAGAAATCCACGGAGACGTTGGACACACCATACATTCTAGTGCTGTTAGAGAGTTCATGGTAACCGGAACTGTTGTTCGGGTCAGAATACCCAGTCCTTAGTACGACACATCGATCAGTGTTCCATTCATTGTCACATGTTGACCAGGGTTGTGTCGGGAAGAACGAATAGCCGAGGTACAACAGCACCCAGGCTACTATCAGTCCATAGTACCACGTGACAGTAGTCCCAAGGAGAACCATGGCATAGCCCATGCCTTAAAATGATGTAGTAATGATATATTAAGTGAATAATCAATTTACAGTTATGACATGTAAATGTTGTAACACAGATTTATCGTCAACAAAGTACATGAACAATAAACGTGTTTTGTACTTGTAAAGATGTATAACAGGTGGAAGAAAATGGTCTACATGAAGACATTATATTTATGATTTATGAACACATCAGGGGAAATAATATCTGAATCAGTGTGTTTCCTGCTGATCTCGTTGGTGGCCTGGATCTCCTAGTGCACTATTTCGATGGGGTATATATTGGGATGTAGACTTTCTCGTGCCAGGTTTCCACATGGTTGGTGACGCGTGTCCTTCTTTATCATAGTGTGGTTCAACATACCGCGATTTGAATAAAATGGGGGGGGGGGGATGTCTATTGAGGATCACTTTTTGGAACACTTGTCAGGACAAAGTAAGTCATGGTCGAATAACTTGGGCCAGGTAACGAACGCTCAACTGCAGTAAAGGAGGTCGCGGTTGAGGGGCTAGATTTGTTGTCTGCTCCCTTCTGGCGCGGTAACAGCCATCAGCATCATTAAGTATGTAAATGAGCTTACATCATCTCATAACTATTTCAGGTTTACTGCTTGAGTAATTAAACATTAAAATAAATTCGTGATTTAGGCATAAAAAATTAATAAGATTTATATTCTACATGAATCATTATAAATCTACCGACATTGTCATCATTTAGACATTATATACATCTAAGATGTTAGCCTTAATATCAAGGAAGGGGATAAAACTTAAATGTACAAAACCATGTTGAGATTCATTGATTAACTATTGCCTCAATACAGATTATTCTGCCAATACCATATGAAACAGAATTTCATCCAACTATGCAAATATTTATAAAAAAAACATCCAATATTGATGGCGTTTTCGAATTAGAACGGAGAAAACAAGATAGAAAATAAGAAAGAAAGAACAATCGATAAAGCTTTATTTAATATACTATTGCAGAATGTTTCCGTTTATTTATAAGAAAGAAACTTTCTAGACATTAATCTACTGTAGGTAATTGAAACAAAAATAAATTTATAGTTAAAGAATATGTAAAATATGAAATAGAACTTGATACGATATAATAACTATATTCAAATATTAAAAATTATTCTATTGAATTTTCCATTCTTGATAGCTATATTTCTATATCTCCAACCTATGGTATTTACATGTCACAGTTGATTCGATATTCAAGAGCCTGTTCCTATTACCACGATTTTCGTGCAAGAAGTCGTCAACTGACTGACAAACTCGTAAAACAAGAGTTAAAAAATACAGGTTAATGAAGATTATTGGAAAGTCTTATGGTCGCCATAATGATTTTATTGAGAAATTTCCCCATTCGTATTCTTACTTTGTAAAAACAAAGAGACCAAACATATCTTTAGATGTTATCAATATAGTTAAGAAAACTTATAAACAGATAATCTCGATACATACCCTCTAGTAATGGACATAGTCCCCATGCTACCATGGCACTCCTACCAGAGAATTGGCCGACAGTCATCTCAATCACATACAACGGGAACCCACAGAGCACGGTAAACAGAAAGAAAGGGACCAGAAACGCTCCTGTGGAGAAACATTTTAATGTGTAGATATTGTGCATTGTTCATTGCGCAGAAAATGCTCTAAGCGTGTGTATAAAACAACCAAATCTACTAGAATTGTAATTATAGATTTTCACGATTAGCATTCAACATGTAGATTATTTTTTTGCGTTTATTAGACAAAAGTCATTGCAAAATTAACACGGTTGACGGTACATCCGAACACGACCGTCTTTTATCGTTTTCATGTACTTTCATAGAAAATACCAGCTACACGGTTATATTCATTGCCAATTTCAATACTCGACAAAAACCTGCACTGGCCATCGAAGTGTAACGAAACCAGAGTTTAAAATGTATACCAGCCGAAAAAGCTTTTTAAATTTATTTTTTTAATTATCGATGGGAATAACTGCATTTCCCATTGATCCGACCGCCTGCATGATTCGAAGAGGCAATTGTGAGATCCCCTATTTCACCCAAAAAAGGGATTAACATTAATTATACAAGTAAATACCATATGCTTTGTGAAGTCACCTTTGCTTCTTACCTCCCCCATTTTTCATACAAAGGTACGGAAATCGCCACACACTTCCAAGACCGACGGTGTATCCAATCAGGGATAACAGATATTCAATTTTGTTGGCCCAAACATCCCGTTTTAACTCTGAAATATCCTCATGTGTTTTAGAGTCCTCTTTTTCTCCTTTACACAAATTCATTTCAACTTCCTCATCGTTATGATAAAGATTTGCAGACTCCATCACTCCAGAGAGAAATCGCGCCAGATACGTACAGATCACTTAACTGACTAACCGTCCAAAGATTCAGTCAACCTTGAACTAAGAACAGCTGTGTTTTTCTTTCTAGAATACAGACATCCAATGTTCAACGAACCTGAAAAATTCATGCAGTGACAATACCTTGACATTTGACATTACTTGTCAAGTTCATATAACATCGTGATCATTCATATCTTATGTAAAGTATCTTATTATGCATTTGCTCTGTAAGTATTGCATATTTATGCTTATGCCTGCCTTTTCCCGTTAAACGTGCAACAATTTCTTTTGACTATTTGAATATATACATAATTGGAATCTCTAGTATGTTGTCGTTTTTTGCTTGATTTTACACGATGTGTCAAGGAAATGCATATCAGAAATATCTAAATAAAATTTGAAAAGTTTTCGAATTACAAATACATAAATGTTGTTTCAGTCTTGGAAATAGTTCATTCAATCTAATATTCTCTTCTAATACCTACCAAGCATGACACACAAAGTGCCCAAAGCCAATTTTCATTTCTCCATGCTTGAATGGATCCTTTTTAATGATTTGTAATACATTATCTTCTGATTTTATTTGATAAGCTACATAAATAACGCTGTCAGTGACTGAAAATATTTCATCGATGACCGGAAATGATAACAGCAAAGGTGCAGTTAACTATGAATAGTCTTTCTGGCTTTAAAGAAATACATTGACAATAATGAACTACCACAATGACTATTAAACTTCAGAATTATTCCTGTTCGAGGTTGGTAGACATTCTCTAAAAGGCAGCACATATCTTAAATAATAGCTGCGAATATTCATGGTCAGAAAAAAGTTAGCAGTTATTTCTTGACAGGTTGATAAAACGTTTATCAACTATCTATTTGTGAAAGATATAAATGTTCAGTCATAGCACTGACGTAGTCATTGTCATATCCGTTATCAGAAAAAAAAACATGACCGTATTTCTTGTCACAGTTATATCCCATACGGTAGACCATAATGATAATGAACGTTCTTATTATCCCTTCACAGCCAGAAAAATAAATCTAATTGTATATCAACGTTAAAAAAGACGAATGAGGCAAGCCATCAATATCCCAATATTACAGTAGATCAGGGTTATCTGTGCTTGGTATCACTCAAAATGATATGGGTCATTTAATAACATAGCTAGGCGTAAATTAGCATTTTTTATTCATCCACACGTAAGTATATATTTTTTTGTTATCGAGAATGCCATCTTTTACAAAAAAACTAATAATAACTTAATATGTTTACTAATTCCCAGTTAGCAATTTAAACCGTTATTTAATGAAATGCTTGAAAATAGTTAGAAATATTTGTCTGTCTTAAAACAAACCGGATTCTCCCCCAAAGACTCCACAGTGAATCAGCTACTTTCAGTTTACGATACAATATTTAGTCAATTTGATAAATAAGAAACAAGAAAAGCAGTATACAAGGTTTTCGGAAAGCATTCGACAGGGTTTTGCAATTTTAAAAAACCGCTCTCTAATTACCTAATTGATAGACAACGACGTGTAGTGATTAATGGATTTAAATTTATCCTAATAAAACTCATGTGTGCCTTGTACAATCCATGCTTATATCGTACATTGCAATCCAGGTGTTGATATGACCTAATAGACAATTTGCCACTTTGATCATGTCGATGATATCTAGCAGTTTATTTACTACCACTTCTGAACATCGTTTTTGGGTGTGGTGTGATGATTAGGCAGTTGTGGAATGTTTTGGCTAGGCGATTTGGTGCCGTAGATCACGAGTTCGAGACCCGTATAGCGCACGTGACTTCGTCAGTTGTTTTACAATGCCAAAATATTAATTAACTCACACAATGTAAGATATACAGTAATGTTGTTTATTTGAAGGTTTCAGATTTGATAAATTTGAATTACTTGTTGTTATGGTACCCGTGTATGATATATATGGAACAAAACTAATGCTGAAGTATTGTGTTTGCAATCATTATATGAATATATATATATATATAAGGTTAATATTAACAGTGCTCGATACATACACATATAATCTTAAGCGTTTCCACCTGAAAATGTTTTCTCTCAGATGTCTTCGACTGCAAGATTAACTCGCAACACAGGGTTCCAAAAGATGCAGATTGACAAAAATTGTGGGGAAGTTTCACGGTCATCATAATGATCTCTATGAGAAATATTCTATTTCTTTGTACAATATGAAAGCTGGATGTTTTATGTCTTGTGTTTTATTTATGTATAATGAATATTCATATAACCTTCCTGTTTATCTTTTATTTTTTGGTTCAGTCTGTGATAAGATATAGATATAAACTCTTCACACAATGATATACCTAATAAAATATAGAGGATCCCGGTGTACAAGTTGTTTATGTGATGCATTGTTACATTGTATACATGTGTCTGTATGTATAGCCATATAAGGTAGTCACTTAACATGGTTCCTAAATTGGAACATGAATAGAGTGATGGTGCTTCGACAGTTTAGTGCTGCCCTGTTATAACTGATATCTGGAGTGGCAGTGATGATGAGGGGCTAATTAAATTGTGTGATTTAACTTATCCTACTAGAAGATAATTCAAAGAATATAATTTGTATAAAAAATAAATACACTTTGCTTTGATACTTTTTATAATCATAGGTAGGTACATGCATAATGAACTTTTATTTATTCACCCAGTATTCTGATAAGACATAAACTTTTACAAGTGTGTGAATCAAGGCTAATATTTACTCATATCATAACTTTTATTTGCTTGAAATGTATGCAATCCAAGGGAGACAACTTGTAAAGGCATTGCTGATGTCCAATCCGTTTATTTTTATTTTTTTTATTGATAAACATATTCTGAAATGAAATTTAAATCTTATTCAATCATTGTAAGATGCTTTTTATTTCCAAATGAGAACAAGACAAATGGTAGCATGATCGCCGTTAACGAGCATCAGATGCGTCTAATGTAATATCGCAGTTTATGACTTTATTTAGATTAGCTTAGAGAAAATACGTCAAATTTCTTGTCTGACCTACTTTTCTGAGGTTATTTCTTAACTTCTATTCCTAGCTGTAATCGTTTCTTATTCTTTATTCATCTTAACTCTTCACATTTGGCTTTCAGTATGGTCTGCTTCTCTAGGTTCTTTCTTAAATTCTACTCCTATCTGTAACCTTTCCTTAATCTTCATTAATCCTAACTGTTCACATCTGGCTTTCGGTATGTAGGACACGGAAATGGAAAATCATAACATGATATGTTCTACTTCGCATGAAAACCATACAAAAGCGTACTTTAAAATTTCTGAGTGTTAAAAAAACAACAAAAAAAACGTAATAGCGCAAACAAAACAAATTATCTCCAAATGTGATTATTATAACGACCATTCAACATCGGTATGGTTTTAATTCAACTGCACTTCTCAGTTATTGATATCTTGCATGGTAATCGTGATATTGAGAACACGTCCGTGGACTCGAATTGGAAGGGCATGTAAACAAGGTTAGGAGTTTAGGAATATACTGCTATTTAAAAGCTGTAAATTCACGAAAGAACGTTTGAAATCATAACACATGTCATTGAGATTTGTGGAAAGTTTTCGTGTTTGTTTCGGTGCAGGAAAACACTGAGGTAATAATTGATATAGGAGAGAATCTCGTGACCTTGGTTCAAATTCTGGCGTGCTCAGGCAATACATTTCTTGTTATTTTAAAGACCAGATATCATAAATATTCCTGTACCTTAAAGTAAAATTGAAAAAAAACTTAAAAGTGATCGCGACCTGTTTTTACAAGTTCTTCGACAACGGCAGCCTCATGTGAAAACAAACACACGTCAGTTTAAAGGCGGACACAGTTTGTTTCTATAGATTCTATTGTTGCTATTGTCAAAGAGAAACTCGATAATTTTAACGCATTTTTCTTCGAAAGAAAACTTCCAGGATAAGAAAATAAAGGTGATTTAGTGTACAAAGTAGAAAATTCAAATGTTCAAAATGGGTGAAAGCTCTTCAGGGCTCTTTAAAATCAACATATTATAGATTCTACTCGTGTTTACAGCATGATAATAAAACTATAACCCTGATATAATAGTTCTTAAGAATGTTAGTAAGAAGCTTTGATATTTTTTTGTTGAATATTTTGACGAACCACCAATAAATCGATGCTTACACGAATTCTTGTAAAAGTCAGGAATGCGATATAAACGAGGGCGGTTCGTATACTTGTCATTAAGAAGTAGTCTAAACGATCGTAAGATGTAAAATTATACAAAGATACACAAGTGAATAACACCTTGTGAGATAATAAGCAACATTATACAGCTGTTTCGTCCTTCCAGGACTCATCTGTAAGTTTTCGTAAGTTCATATTTGTTATTTCGAGAAGAATGTCAAGTATATTTGTCTATTCTGATTTGATCCTGTTTCAGAGATCGATGGGTCTATGCAAAATCTGCAATGGTACTGGCTTTCAATGATGCCAGTTCTGTATATCTTAACAGTTCTTTGTTCATTGTTACAAAACCCTAATCGTTTTAGTAATACCTCTGTACCATTTTAGTTTTGGCCACATTAATGAAATTTCTTGGCAGCTGTTTTATCTGATACTACGATAATAATTGAGGTGGTTAGGAATAGGGTCAAGAAAGCGTGTGTTGTTCTATTGCTCTGGTGACTTGTCACCACAGCGACAAGATCACAAGGACACCGTGAATACAATTCACTATTTGAAACCGTTCATCATTCATTCCGACGGTGTCATCAGAATTATAACACCTGATATAAATTATCTACGACAGTAAGGTAGTATAGAGCTGCTTTACTATGGAATGAAAAGGCACTAATGACATTGTTATTTTTTAATTCTTTATTATCATAACTTTGTTATGACATGGTTATTGAATTAATATATATAACAAATACATTCTAAATATTAATTAGATCATTTTTGTAATGCTGAAAAAATTAATAACCGTTGCTGTTGACACAAGGAAAGTAAATTGAATATCATGAAATAATATATAATAAATTCTAGTATAACATTTTTGAAGTGATTCTCCCAACCTCGACCCCCAACCCTCCACAAAATGTAAATATGTAAATAATTATCATAATAAAGTCCCGGGGGAAACGTGGAGTGACATTTATAGAACTATAATGTCACCGAGTACAGCTGTACAAAACCCCATAAAAATTAATCGATGTGAAGAGAAAATGCATTATTCTATAAATATCTATAAATGTGACGTAAGACCCCGTGATCGTGTCTGTTTTCTGATTTCAAGTAATTAATTATATTAACATCATAGCGACACTGGAAGAAATGTAAGTTATATCAAAACGCCGCTAAATTTGTATCCTTATGTGTGAACTCGTTTAGCCATTTCTGGTGTGCCAAACGAAACCCGATCAGAAATTGGATCCGTCAAGGAATCATGGGCGACATGTCAAATCTATTTCTGGTGTGCCAAACGAAACCCGATCAGAAATTGGATCCGTCAAGGAATCATGGGCGACATGTGAAATCTATATCCATACAAATCTGAAAACTTATGAAACAATAACAAAATTTCATAGTATTTCAAATAACATAATAAAACCGATACCTACACAAATCCGCATCTCCACTACCCAAAGGATACGACTTGTCTTATTCCTCTTCATCAAGTGAGTGGGTGATGAAAACAAAAACCACAATAACCTTTTAAAGCCCACGCTCATAGAAAATTGGTCTCAAACCGTCATGTTATACTGAATCGTTCGTAATACATTTTTTCATTTTTCATTGTGGAAAATTATCAGTAATGTATTATTCATTATCTTCGCTTGATGTAACTTTCTTAAGTACACGAACGACGTCACACATTCCATAGATAAAATTTTAAAAGGTTTGACCATTGTCACAATTATCTGTATTTAATGTAATAACAGATATTTCTATCTTAAAATTAACTGAGCAGAATTATGATTAAATAATTATGAGGTGACAATGGTGTATTTAGGTAAATGACGCTAACAAAGAAAAAAATAGCAATTGTATTGGCTAAACTAATTACAGTGAGCACACATAAAAACAAAACAAAAAAAAATTAATGATTCATGATTTATCAACAATATAACATTTCAATATCAAATAATATATTCATTTGTAGAAAATAAGTACCACATTTGCCTTTTGCTGCTAGTTTGGCAATGTGTGTCATTCCCCCCGGCATAGAGTATCATTTTCCCCTTTGTATTCAGTTCGGCAGTGAGTGCCATTTTTACCACCTGTAAACAGAACGGACAGGAGTATCAGAGCAACAATGTGTCTCAGATAAGTACTGAATTAAAAAACTTACGTAACATCAACAGATTACTAAGAATCTTTGTAGCCTTATACTTTTATCGTTTAAAGCAATGACACAACAACGTTGTCTTTACCACTGGCGCGGGTCTGATACTAATATTTCACACATCGTTATCATTTATGATTACGTTGTGGATAGTGTCACTGTCTTCCAGTCCAGGATGTCCTTTCTCTGGTTAATCCCATACTATACGACATCCCGTGATCCGTTGTTGGTATTTTCACACGTTTCTGTCACCGATCAAGTTTATAAGCATATTCTTCTGCACGTTCCCCTCATACTGATACTCCTTAAGGAATTGTCCGCCTTCAATCGGACCCCAATTTTCATCGGGTTCGCAAGCGTGCTTCACCCTCTGTAATTGTATCATATCTCTCATATTATTAATGAAAGATGATATGTTCAACATCTATATACACACTGACTACATGCTTTTGTGGCAGTGTAAGACAAAAAAGATGATTACAATCAATGATCATGCTATGGACCACTTTGAAGTAGAAAATAATTCTTCATTATTTATTATTAATTTATTGTATTTATAATTTTAACGGATGCAGTCTGAGAGAAAATATCATTATTTCGAACCAAATTCGTAACATTATAATTTGTAGATAGTGCGTTACATTAATCTAACGGTCCGATAGGTACGAACTAATAAAAACATACATATTCTATGGTAAAACACGACTATTACCTGTATAATCGATCCTTTTTCCTTAAACAGTTGTACCACAGCCAAGATAGGAATGGGCAGTAAAGGAATGATGGCGAACAGATTTCCTACCACTGCAGCATAGTCTGGGTAGGTATACTGAGCCGTGTTAGGGGGCCCATACTGTGTGATATTACCAAGAAATACGACCTGCAACGTAGGCATAACGCAATAAGTAGAAAAGTTCATCAGCTAATATAATTTTAGGTGAGAGATAAAACACTGTATGATTCCATCAGAAGTAGCTAATTAATGATATCGTTCGAAGTGATTTTTTTGCACCCGACTAGTTTAACGGAAAGATAATTTTTGGTTAATAAATTAGTCCAAACGTCGTTATATCTAATTCCATTATTTGAACACAAAGAAGTCTGGTCTGGATAAGTAAAAATCTTTTGCATATTTTTAAATGAAGATTACTGCTTACCAACAGGATTAAGGGAGTAAAGATACACCAACAGATTCTCATTACCAGGGGAGCAGATCGACCGGTCATCATACTTATATTTCGACTGAATCTCTCGGCACCTGGGCAAACACACATTAAAATACTGTGAATTGTAAATTTACAATTATTTTAAAATGTATGAATTACTCTAATCGAATAATATATTTGGAGACTTTGTTGAATCCGGTTACTTAAATAACAAAAAAACTATTTCTCCAAATTTACGAAATTTTACATTCATCCACTGACATTTGTTATATTGTAATGAGTAATGAGTAATGACATGAACCACTGAAAGTGTGTGTCTATGTCACAAACAGTTAAATGCAATGACCTCTTTGTTGAAAGTAAAATGACAAGAGCGAGATGAAAAGGTATAGCAAAATCTTAACAAGGGCTGTGAGTAGCTACCCATACACTAGCCTCCGCTATATCGATAAATTCCTCACGCGTATTTCCTGCAGCTATAGTATCCAGAACTGCATACCACATTTACGTGTTATTGTATATTACTGTATAGCTTGGTATACTATTTTATGTTTTATATTACATCATCACTATAGCGCACATTCTGATAACTAAATAAGTACTATGTTGCCATATGTTGGTTTGACAACCGATATGTTCTCCAGTGTTGATCAATGTACATTTGACATGGTGGTAAGAAATTATTATTAAAATGATGTAATTGGGCGATAATTTCATATTTTAAGAAGGTTACTTACCATATATCCAACTTATGACTATGCATTCAAGGAAAGAACCTAACACAATACACAGAGTCGATGCATACCAGTCGATGAGCTGGAACACATAGATTCCTCCCTGTGATAAAAAAGTGTTATTGGGTTATCTATAGTAGATGTCAATGTTCGTTTACCAGTCATCCTCATTTAAATTGTCATTGTTTTCATAGCTATAAAGCACACAAATAAACTACAACGACAAAGTCGTCAAATGAAAAAAAATATATATGTATAGGTAACATTAGTATAAATGATTTTAGTCTTGAACTGATGACCAGACAGATGACCAGATAAACAACAACAGGAAGTACATCATTGTATAGGAAATGTTATCACTGTATTGTAGATTATGCTTCCTTCAACCATCTCTATATAGAGTATAGAGAGAGGATATCTCCACTTCCTTAATGATACTGATAACTGTGAGAGATTTTTTACATTTTATATATTTTTCTCTTCTGCTGTACAAGGGGCTTACGAAAGACCTGCCGCTAACTTGCTGAGTATAGTTCATCTTTTTTATATACTGAATATTCTGCTGTTTTCTAAATTTATCGAGAGTTTATACCTGTGTTGTAAACGGTAGACCCAAAATGAACAGGATAACGCTTAAAGCTGCGGTCAGTTGAACTTTTCGTTCCTTTAGTTGCGATGGGAAAGAATCAACCAGTCCACTTGAAACAGTCTCGAACATGCCAAACTGAAATGCATAAAGTAAAACATTAATTAATGAATTCTTTCATTGATAAACTAGTGCTGTTTATATCAACTGAGGCAGCTATCAATTTGTTTTCCTGTCTATCATAGTAGCACTGCAGTAGTCAACAACTGTGGACAGTTGTTCATAAAACAGACAAAAAATTAGTTTGACTTTGGGATACATTCAGCCCGTAAAACATTTTTCAGAACAGACAATATCTAAACGACAAAGGGTTTGGTATAACCATAGCTTTAATGAAATTGAAACTTTCCTACAACACTTATCCTTAAAATTAATCTATACGCTTTATCTTACCTGGCTGTCGATTCCGACTGTGATCAACATTAAAAAGAACAAAACACCCCACAGATGAGGCAGGGGTAGCTTCATGATGGCTTCCGGGTAGGCTACAAACACCAGGCCTGGACCTATTTAACGAAACATACAGATTCACAAGTATTACAAGAGGAGACGCACCAGAACGACCCTTTTCGATGTTCATCAGCAGGAAATGGATGTACCACAAGGCAGCATTCTCTCGGTGATACTTTTTTAGACTTAAAATTAACAGTATTGTCAAAACATTATCCCCTTCAACGGAGGGCTCTCTTTATGTCGATGACTTCATTATATGCTATCGATCTAAGCATATGAATACCATCGAATCACAACTACAACAATGTTTGAATCGACAACAAATTTGGGCAGATGAAAATGGATTTAATTTTCACACTCAAAACAGTTTGTATGCATTTTTTTTAAATGCGGAGACAACCCGGTGATCCAAATCTCTCTCTTTGTGGTCTACCCATTCCAGTTGTTGAGCAAACCGAATTCCTAGGTGTAATATTCGACAGGAAATTGTCGTTCCTTCCACACATAAGATATATAGCCATCGAAATAAATTCACTTTGCAGTACATAATTCAGCTAAAATCTAATCCATCACATCCTGCTTTTTCACTTGTGTTTCATCCAAAATAGAAAACTTGAATCGAACCAAAGACCATTCCACCATTCGGTATTCGGATTTTCCGCTCTTTTACAAGACACAAATATTGATATTGACCAAATTAGATCATTTCGAATGACAGAAATTCCAACATGGCTCTTTAATTCACCCAAAAATTAATTTTTCATTTAATGAAATGGTAAAATCAGAGATTGACAGTTGTAACTTTCGTTCATTCTTCTCGAAATTAAGTAAAAATATATATATATATAAAAAACTTTCTACATCTATATATTGATGGTTCAAAAATAGCATTAAGGTTACCGCGGCCATGTTTACACAAGATGAAGCCTATGGATGCCGGCTACCGAACAACGTCTCAATATTCTCGGCGGAGGCGCGAGCTATCTACCTCGCCCTTGAACATATTCAAACTAAAAATTAATGTGAGCTGTTATCTATTCAGACTCTGTTTCTGTACTACAAGGCCTAAGTAATATAAATAACGGAACAATTTTTGTTCGTAATACATTAATACTATATCATGAACTTGCTTTTTTCTGGGTTCCTGGGCACGTGGGAATACCAGACAATGAAAAAGCAGATCGTGCCACAAATTCAGCTTTATCGCTACCACCTGTTGCTTTTAATCTTCATTTTACTGATTTTAAACCATTTATCAAACATTTTTTTCAGCTGAGTGGCAGGAGAAATGGAATCAATATACCGATGACAAATTGCACTCCGTAAAACCTATCATCGGTGAATGCTCTTCATGCTATAGAGAAAACCACCGAGACGAAGTTAGCCTTGCCCGTCTTCGGATGGGTCATACATACCTTACGCATTCATATATGTTGAAAGGCGAAAATAAACCTCTGTGCATAGGATATGATAAGCCATTCACCGTAACACATTTTTGTGAGACTACATTGACCTTCTGTCCACTCGGGAATTTTTATCGTAACGTTACAAGTCCAAAGACCGTTTTTGAAACTGTTGAGATTTATAGAATTCTAGATTATCGGAAAGATATTGGTCTATATTATAGACTATGTCTTATCATTTTAATCTTTTGTAATTATATAAACATTTAAGATTTTAAGCATTTGTCTTTTACCTTTAAGCTTGTTTGATGTTATTTCCCTTTTGGATCGCTGTGTCTTTTACCGGTTGATGACCCTAACAAGCTTTGATGTGTTGACGGACCGTTAAGATTGTAATATTATTATTAATAATAATAATATAATAATAATAATAATTAAGTACTTTGTCATGATTTGAGTAGTACGATAACATACTAAATTCGGACTTTATCATGATTTGTGTAGTAACTTCACATAAAAGCTTGAAAGTATTATTATGACTTGTGTAGCACGTACGTGTACTAACTTGAGGACTTTATTATGATTTGTGTTGTACGTTCACATACTAATTTGAGGGTTTTACATACCAGCTTCTGACACCTCCTCCATGGTAAGACCTGCGTCGTGTGCCATGAATCCCAGGATTGAGAAAACCACAAAACCGGCATAGAAACTACTCAGTCCGTCAGCAAGTGTTCCATACATAGCATCCCTATGGATAAACATATCACAACATGAACATCTATCGGTAGCTAGTGAAAGAACAATTTTATTTTCTATATAAAGAAGTTTGGCTTTAACTTCAATTAGCCATATCAACAGATTTAAAACATTAACCATTATCTTTCCTCTTGATTAAAAAAGTTTGTGTGTCAGATTAAAATATATGTAAACATAAATTAATTGTTCACTAAAAGAGTCATTTAATAAACCGAAAGAAGTTAAACAATAAATCAAATCATTTCATCATGTCTTTTTTTAGAATGTGTACAAAAGAGAACACAATGACTGACAGTAAAGGTCTGAAATAAAGTGAAACAAAAACGTAAGCACAGGATTTACAAAACATTTGGATAAATAAAATGATTGGTTTGACGTGTGGGATAATGTTCCTTATCGCTGAACACGTTTTAAGAAGTATGGGAGTTAAATGTTATGAAAGAGTGGCAAAAGTATCCTCAGCGGATATATCCGTGATTGATAATTACGGTGTTTTGTTAACGTGATTGATAATTATTGTCTATCATATTATTCATGTATTCAGTTCGATTACTTGTGTTTTCATTTCTGTCAGCTTCGTTTCATGTTATTCCAGTGATAATGAAGGATAACCTAGTTAATCCGACAGTCCGCACAACTCACTTTCCGGATTTAACCCGTTCGTAACTAGTTTCCTAGGACGAATTGAGCGTGTTGCAATAATCCGGAAAATTAATTATTTTGGATATTTTTTGGTGACAACCAAAGTATCCGGACTAACGAGATTGAACCGTCATTGGCTATTTGAAAATGATTTTTAACGTTCCAGAACCTCATAGTAGACGTGATGTAGATAACTAAAAAATATTTACAAATTAAAACATAGAAAGAAATTAATAATATCAATTTGAACATTTTGTTACAGATATAATGAACTTTCCATATCTTTTGCATGTTCTCTATAAAAATTACGTTTATGAGATTAGAGAATATTAAACAATTTCAATTCAGACCGACATGCATTAGACCTTGAATTATTCTTGTTTCAACCATTTTGTTAAATATTTTGCCTTGAATATAAATTTTGTTTTTATTTTCAACCAACATTTCACTCCAAGTAAATCATAACGTTTTCATGCACTTTACCTTTACATGACAATAATTTTACCGAGTAAGCTGCATGAAAACCGAAAGATTTTCAGGGCGCTAATGCATGTTGTGTGACAACAATTTATCACTGACAATAAAATGAAACTAGTCTGATTTCATGGATAATTTGAGGAATTATTCATCATGTTTTGAAAGAAGAAATAGAAGATTTACGGTAAACAAAATAAAAATGATTTACATGAAGCTGTATACAAAATATTTGTGGACAATAATTATTTAACATCCATGCTTTGGAGGAAAACAAAATCGTAGTTGAATACACAAAGTTTGCATTGTGGTGTACGATGAGAACGTTGAGTTTTATTTATATGAATACCATATCTAACGACGCCCACTAGGGATCTGTTCACTGCACGACATCCTTCAGAACAAACCCCTGCATCAAAATTGAATTAGCATATCATTCTGCAATCAATACAAACAAACATCTGTCGACAGAATTTCTTATGTAGTTAATCAAATGAGCAGACAAAACCACAACACAAAATATATAAATATGATATCATTTGTTTTAGACCAAACCGAGGTAACTTTACAAAGTCCAAAATAACATTGTTATTATTTGATATGTGATTAGATTTACCGGAAGAGAGAAGAGAATGCTGGATGATATTCACAGGTTCTTATTCGCCAAAATAAGCACACGAGATTCAAGATTCTCTCTGAAAGTTAATTGAGCAATGGATTTTATTACAGCAATAAAATCGCTATGGTGGTATTTAAATTGCCCAGTCTTGTTTTTTTCTTTCTTTTTTTTTCTTTTCTGAAATTTTTGCCCGTCATTACTGCAATCGATAAGAATTTAAGTAATTATGCCCAAATCAAATGTTATAGATATATCATATATATAAATATTATATATATTATAAAAAAAATGCAATGTCAAAATCAAAAATCATTATTGAAGCAAAAGCTTTAGCAACAACAACATTAATGTAAATACATTTCAGTCGTATGCTACTTTTTCAATATCGTTTTCAACATTTATTTTCAATATTTAAACTCAAATCAAGACTTCTTTCAGTTGTGGAAACGAGATATCGGTGCTTACGACTAATCTAAAAGTAAATCAATAAAATGTATGATAATTAGGCGATCTGTTTGAAATATTGTTTTTAATAATAGAAATCTGCAGAAACAGAGAAATGATATAAGCGATCAGAGGAAGGTAACAATAATAAGAAAACACTTAAAAACCTTCTCCAACATTTGTTGACATAAGCAAAACGGGTGATTGGGTAATGGGATATCAAATGTGATGCAATATTTTGAAAATGATTTTGTTATAGACATGACTTGTACGTATACTTAAAGGGGAAACAATAACTCAGTCCGCCACGCATTCTCTATAAAAAAAGTAGAGGACAATATCAATTATCGTTATTCCTCAATCTCACTATATTTTCCTCCTGACAACGTTAAGGATGTTATATACCCTTAATCCAGTAGTATACCAAACCTACGCCATGGGTTTTACTTGACTACTGCTGCTGATGGCAAATATGAAATTAGACTGCTTATATTTTTCCAATCGCTTCGGTGAAAGATAAATAATAACGTTGCTCACCGAGATATTATTTCCCTTGCAAAGGTTTTAATTTCATCTGTAAACCAGTGAACACGAACAAACTGTCGGTATAATTCTTTCACAGGCTGAAATCAGACTTCAAATATTCTATGACTTTATCAAATTCTGAATAATGCACACATGTTTAGTAATAAAAGTTTGGAGTTAATTTCTCATTACATTCGAATTACAAGAAGAAAGAACAAAACCTGTGTATCTAAAGGCTGATATGAAATGTGACAGCTGTCTTTGCCGACTGGTTTACTGTGCATCTAATGGTATTTAACAGTTGGCATGAAATATGTATTAATTCAACAACGGATGCATGTCGATATTTTGTTCATAAAGTGGTTGTCATATTCATTTTGTTTCAAAATTAATCAGCAGCCTCGCTGTGAAGATAATTCCTTTCAATAAATAACTTCATTTTCATACTTGTATTGGTGTCATAGATTATCCCAAAAGACCAAATCTATCAGTATCAGTTTACATCTATGTACTACATCATATATACTTCAGAAATAGGGTAGTATTTCAGTAGTTCGACAGATTAAAATGTCTTGTGACAATTTAGGTCAGATATGAAAGATTTATCGTACTAAAGTAAGACATTCCAGTACTTAGACTTCCAACAATTATTTAAATTTTGAATCTCACCTGCTATTTATTACTCTGGTATGGTAACAAAGTCAAACTTAAATTTGATATATTAATTTTCCAGTTAAATAACATATTTATACAGCCCCAATAATCTCATGAATTTATAGAAGGCTAAGCGGAAATGAATTAAAAAGCATAAATGTTTTGGTTGACAACAATCACTTCGTGAAGAAAATATACATTGCCAGGCATTTGGACGGAAGACATCAATCCCAAATTAAACTGACTTACTTTAGACAATTGTTTTTGAATTTACTATAGCTTGACATCGTAATAAGAGAACCCCATGCTGGTCCAAGAGAGAAAAATACTTGGACAGCTGCCTCCAACCACACCTGAAATATCAAACGCAAATGATCAAATTTTGATAGATGTTTAGTAAATAACGAGAAACCAAAGAACACCAATAACATAATACATGAACGTTACAAAAAATATATTAAGCGGAAATTAAACATTAATCATTTTATGGTATATATATACATTCGAATATTATGCCTAGAGTTCAAGAACAAAAGCGTAAGTGCAAATCCTTGATATAATACAGAACATGATTAAGAAAGTGCAATATCAATATTGGGAAATCATCTGTGTTTAACGTTAGCAGGCCCTTCTAGCGCCGGATATGACAAATGTAAGATTTTGAAATGGAAAAGTAGTACGTTCAGTTCTAAAGCAAACAACGGACAAGCACACCGAACGAGAAACAAAAGATGAGAGTATCTCACCTGAAAATGTAAGAGTCTAGAGAAGTCAGGTCGTAGGTAGAACAAAATCCCTTCTGTAGCTCCATCTAGTGTTAAACCCCTTATTAGGAATATTGTCAACAGGAGGTAGGGCAATATAACAGTGACATAAACAACCTGAAAACATACGATTATTGGATATTAATATTCTAAGTTATGTTAATTCTTCAATATTAGCGATATATGTTTACAAAATGACAATGTCTTATCTCACTATTTGAAACGATGGTATTATATCATTAAGTATGAATCCGTCCAATAACAGCTAGATTCTAACCAACACGTAATTTCAAAAATATTCAATACATAGTCAATCTATTCGCCTTTATAAACAATTAATACCGTTTACAAAACTGAATGTATGTTATCGTCCAATGAATAGCCAGTGTCGTTTTAAGTAAAAGTTATTTTCGAATTCCATATTTTCGCCATAAGCAATCAATGTAGTCAAACTTAATTTTCTCAGACCTGATTATCGCCATCTTAGAGTATTGCTCTACATGTCAACTTTGCAGAGTTCTTAATCTCTGTGTATAAGAGTTGCATTTCCCCGTTATAAAATAGACCATGGGGTCTGCTTTATTGATATACCGATACTAGCATGTTGCAGTTTAATTGTTCATCGTTTGAGAAAAGATATATGTAGCGATACTGGAGGTACAGTATATCTGAAGAAGGATAATTACACGTATGACATATTCGCGTTTATCCCAGGTGAGTTTGTATAAAACATAATTGGTTTTTGTAAAATGTGATGTGGATTTACCTTTCCAACTGAATAGATGCCCTTGATAAGACACAAAAATGTGAAGAGCCATGCTCCAAAAAGACAAAGAACCAGGTGCCACTGGACCTCGCCAAGATCCTCTATTCCACTAGACTTTTTCAAGACGTTGTATCTGGGGAAAGAGAAATAGCAAATGATACTCTCTTGCCAATACTTCATTTAATAATAATAATTCATTAAAGGGTTAACAAGTCGTATATTAAAAGACGCCTTGTGTATTTTACCGTTGTAATATCAATAAATGACATTGAAGCAGATATGCAATATATAGATGGTCGGGTGGTGTAGTGGTAATGCACTCTATGTTCACGTTTCCTGCTTTCCGCCACAGTTAATCACCTATTTGTTTCCATCTGGACCAATAGGAATGATAAATTAGGAAACATAATAACTTTATCCTGTTATGAAATGTGCGGTGTCCGTCAGTAACAATACATAAAAGAAATTCATACATATTTCAATGACAGCACGATAATTTTATGTCATTATTGTAAACGTTAGACGACGCCGTGACACAGTGTGGCTGTAATGTAAATCGGATCTTACTTATTATTGAAAATGTCATGTGAATTATAGTTTGCCCCTCAAACGTTCGTGACATGTTTATCTAAGTACATTTCTATCCTTGAGATAAATAGGCATGTAATCCGCCCTAAGGCTTTCCTCAGGTCAGATATTAACATGGTGGGAGTGGTAAAAAATTAAGAACGTGTCGTTTATTATCCTTTATCATACAATTATGAAAACAGAATCCTTCTTTTACAATATTACATTGTGGTAGTATTCACCTTCACCAAACTATCGCCACTGAGTTATATCAGTTTTGAAATTTTATCATGAATACCTACTGCCAGAATTCAAATGCTGCCGTATTATAGGTCAGTGTAGTTCTGTTATCACTATTTGTATCTGTCAGGTTGTAAGCATTCCCATCTGTAGACCCATTAATCATTTCGGACACGTTGACCAGCGATGTTGTATTAGTCATGAGGAGGCGGTCAGCTCTACTCACAATACACGTGTCTGTGTTCCATTCATTATCACAAGTAGCCCATGGGATATGGGGAAAAAAGGCATGGATCAAGTAATATATCACCCACGTGATGACCAGGTTGTAGTACCAGGAGACAATTCCAGATATGATTATCATCAAAAAACCTATACCTGAAAAATATAGGAAAAATACATATCGCGATTGTGCAATTGAAATAAAATGGAAAAGAGAAAGCAATGCAGATACCACAAAACAAAACAAAAACTAATAAAGAAGCTAAAAAATTATAAAACATCTAAATAAATAAGATAAAATTCCATTGTTAACTGCATTCTTATTTGAAATCTGTTATGTAATATATAAATAATGACATAACAGAATGACCTATTAAGTGTTACTATGTAAATCTGAAATGCTATTGGGCTAAACGATCGATTTCTATAGAGAGGCCATTGTTCTCGGGTATGAAAATTCGCATTACATTATACAAAGAAAAACAAAAGTAAACGAATGTCTTGCCAAATACTTTTAACATTCGTCAAGTACAAAAGATCATTAACATTGTTTTTATTTTTTTCTAAAAATCTAGAAGTGAATAAAACACGAATTACTGGTAAATAAATTTTCTAATTTTCTATTAAAAATTAACTGAGTTCTAGATTGTTAACATGTTTACCTTTAAAGAGTGGAGCGATTGAACTCCACGCGACTAATGCACTTTTGCCTGAATACTGCCCAAGGCATATTTCCATGAAGTATAGAGGAACTCCACAAAGAAACAGGAAGAAGAAAAACGGGATCAGGAAAGCACCTGCAATCACACATTACAACGTAAAAATAAATATATACATAGTTTTATGTAGGGCAATATGGCGTAAATCAAAGTGCAGTGCTACAAATATTAAATATGGCATTATTATGAATCAATTTACATATCACAATGTTTCCACTTATTTGAAAACAAATGATATTTTTGTCATTTATATCAAACAATAACATTTACTCAGGTGAATATTCTGATTTTATCAAACGATCAAATGATTGTTAATAAGTAGTGTTGTTGTCAACACAGGGTATACAACTACATTATCATATTTAAAGGGTTTTGCCGTTTGATAAGCTTTGATATGCCATTTTATTTCACTAATGTATCACCTGACACAGGCGTTGTAACAGCACGTAGATGTTTACCTATGCCATACATGAACAATCTGAAATTCGACCAGTATTGTAGAACATATGTTTGAATTACATGGCAAACAACATATTATTGTCTATCAGGTTTAGTATCATGTATGATTTGGTTTAGTCTTATTGGTCTGGTCTGGGAAACCTATATAGGATTGATTAATAGTGTATAGCTTTGCCAAGAACCTCCTATAATTTGTATGTGTCTTGCTAGCTTAGCTATACTGCTATAGAAAGAGAGAAGAAAGTTTTGTTTCACCTCACCGCCATGTCGCAGCGTTAACTTTGATACTATCTTAGGTATCTTCTGTCTAGAATGGTAACTTATGTTAGACACATTTAATCATTCACCAATTAGAGCCTGTGACAATAATTTCTCATGTGTTTTAAATGTATTCCGTAAAGTCAGAAATAACATACTTAAAATCATATATATATCATACATATTTTATTCAAAATAGCTTCCAAACTGATAGACCTGGTAACAAAAGTTACGAAGTTGTTTTACAATGTTGAATGGAAGCTTTTGGAGTAAGAATACCTATATAGTAGACTTAACTTGCTGTTGTTGCTGTAATTCCCATCAGGAGCAAAAGCCATATTATGAACCATGATCTCGTCTAGTCTAACCGGACCTGACTGTCTTGTCAAGTCTTATTTGCCTTATTCAAACCGGAACAGACCAGACCAAAATTTGTGAAACATACCAGATCATCATTTATAGTATGCCGCGAGGAAGGCGGGAGTGCCGCAGCAATTCCCCTTCTGTGTCTGTAGGTCACAGTCTGATACTATACCCCATTTCCGACATCTACTTGGGGGGTAAAGTCAAACTTCTATAACCCTGGACAGTCACCTGCTATATCATAGCATTAAGATACATGTGAGTGACTTGCCGCTCAGGAGCACACTGATTATGTGTACACGTTTCCGCTATATACAACTGTCAGTCCTTTGTCTTTTATTTGTCTAAATATCGCATGATCTGGAGGAGTGTCTCGTTTGAATATGACCTTGGACATCACAAATATTTGCGTGGGAAGCAAGGTATAGGAATATTTTCACATGCTACATCTACAAACACTGAAAGGATTTATACAATTATGCAACATGACTGTATACAATTCTATGCATTAATAAAAAAAAAAACAGAAAAAAATATGACATGAAAACAGAATCTTATTTCATTCTCAAATTGAAACTCTATCAAATGGACGACAATGGATAATACTGCGCTGTTGTACATGACCTGTTTGAGCACTGATCAAATAAATAGACGACAAACCTGATTCACTCCATTTAATAAATGACATTCTACATTGGTAATACGATATCTCCGTCACCAAAGGTCACGGTGTCGTTCGATCAACTCGTTGTCATAGAGAGGTCTTTCCAACTTGACAGACCTTTGTCTAGCCAGCTGAATTTACTTTTGACTATATCACAATAAAATGTTGCGTAAAAAACAATTAAATTGTGAAAAATAGTCAGACTCCTGTGAAATTTCTCGGCAGACAATTCTTTCTTGTTCTCACTATATCAAATAATCTGCTAGTAATGTCTGTCATGTTAACGGTAGTATGAAAAAAAAACAAGATAATTTAACCTGTGTCAAAAATTCTGTTTTACATCTATATTTTGATTAAGCAACTTACGTTGGAATAAAGACAAAAACTTTATTTCACAATTGTTGTATTATATAGGTCTCTGTGATGAACTGTATCGCTTGAAAAGCGACTGTGATTCGAATGCTTACATAATCGTATGGTGGCCCCAGATAGGCACAAACATTGTTTGTTTTTGTTTACTCTTTATCATTTTTTTGTTTCTTTTTTCTCAATATGTGTAAGTGAACTATGATACAAAATATTCAATCACTGATTCAATATACAAGAAAAGACACATTTCCGCTCATTTTCAAATGTGCTTTTCACCATCCCATCTAGAGAAAATAGTGACGAGATTCATAAATTTCAAATCAGATGGAATAGAATTTCATGATTTTTATTAAAAGATCTCGCATTACATCTACGTCTAACTATCAAACAATGCTTTTTGTGAAGGTGTGACGTCATGTCTTTATGTAAATCTGTCATCACAACCTGTCATACCATATGGTATATTCAAAGCATGACATCATTTGGTAAGGGTCCATTTTGAAAGATAAGAAAGTTTTAGGGAAGAAACGTATTCCTGTTGATATATGGTGAAAAATTTCAAGATGTATATCAGACTTTAAAACTCGTTACATTCCGGAAGCTAAAAAAATGTCTTGTTCAACGCCTGAAGCAGCCTATCAATCACTCTTTTGGTTTAATCTTCAATGTATAAATATTTCATATATATCAAATTATTTCAGTGAATATAGAAATAATTAGATCTCATTAAAAATCATAATTGTTACAGTAATTCATGTAAGAATTTATATTATATGATGACACATACCTCCACCATTTCGTATACACAGATATGGAAACCTCCACAAATTGCCGAGGCCAACAGAATAGCCGACGAGGGACAAAATGTACTCTATTTTTCTTGACCACACTTCGCGCTCTCGACCATCATCCTTACTGCTGGAATCTTCGCTAATGTCATCATCCTTTTCAAACATTTGCATTTTTGTCTTTGTTTTATCATCCATTTCGCGTTACTTGGTACCTGCAATGGAAGTTAAACGTAGCAAATAAGTCAACGTATTGATATCATGAAAACTTGGTCACGGAAAAGTAATCTGCAGTTAAATACACGTCAGGAAAAAACCACAACACCACTACTATATCGATAACAAAATGTTTTATCAAGAATGTGTTGGTAGTGTTAACGACACTCCTTATGAAATAGAATAGTATCTGGTATCATTCAAGATGTGTACAAAAGTTTACACTGGCCCGGTAAGGTAACATACCAAACTTTTTGCCTTGTGTAGCCTGGGCAACTTCGTTTAACATCTAAATGTTTGTGTCTTCACTCACAAAAACTCTCTAATTAGGAAACATTCCCGCATATTGCCAAAAAGTATCCAGCAAAACAAATACAATACGATGTGGTAACAAATCCCATAAAACAAATGGAGAGTATTACAACGAAGCACAAGGAATCCCGCAATACACATAATACCTATTGCAACGTACTCTCAGCTATATAGACATATGACAAACAATCCCACAAACATTATAGTCACTATATAGTACAAAGTATTCTGCACATCAGTTATGTTTTCTATATTTTAAAACAAAGACTTCCACGAACCAAATAATATACTACCATGAAATTATTTTCCTCAGAAGCGCCTTGATTATGCTTTAACCGCTGTCCTTTGACTGAAATAATGTCACTCAATCCTTATATAAATTTGTTTATTTGGGTCTAGCGACTAGATAGTGTCAATGTCCGTACAACTGACAGGGTCAAATGATGTCAATTTAACATAAATAGGCCATCTAGAATTAGTATTCATTTATCTAAAAAAACTAATAAATCTTATCATCGCCATAAATAACACAAAACAAGTAATAAATTAATTATAACGTTTAATAATAAATTATTAAGTGCATGATAATATTGTTAATAAAAGGAGTGTAAACAATGTCAAACATGATAATCAATCACAAAAGTACGTCACTGGCCTATCTTATCGGTGGTGGTAACCGTTACCTAAATACTTGACCAAGCTTATAGATAACACTATCTTCATCAAAACATATGTGTTTTAATTTACGAAAAATTTAGCTATGTTTTTTCCAATTTTGCTATAAATTTATCAAACCCCAATTTCAGTTGGTTTAGTTGAAAACATATTGAGTGATTGTCTTACTATGCTTTTTCAGAATTATTGCCATATTTTGTCTAAGTGGTAACATAAAATGTCCATTTTCTGGGTATTGTTTGAAATCTGTAATGCATTTTCAATACAGGTTTACTTATACAGAAGTAATTAATGTTAACTGTTTATAAATATTTGTATGTTAATCATACAAAGTAATGTAATGTTGGAGGTGCTTTAATTAGCTGGAGATTCGTAGCATTATTTGTGTTCCTTTGACAAAAAATGACAAGCGTTTTTCGTTGATTTCGGGGGAAGACATGAATTCAATAAAAGTGACGGTTGATAAAGGCGATAAGGCAATTAACAGATCGAAATTGTATTAATCTATTTTACTGTAAACAATGGAATACTGGTGTCGACTATAGTCGACAAAGTATGCTGGTTTTATGTTATTATATATCTATGCGATTTGTAAGTCTCTCATGAAAATGAGTGTTATACTACCCAGTTTTTATCTCTGGATAACTTAAAAAATAGAATATATATTAGGTACATGTAGATAAATGTGAGAACATAATTCCAGTGTAAACGTTTCAGCAATATCCATAATATACTCATTTGTTAATCTACATATACATATATGCATGGAAGTTTGATTTTGTGAAAGCGGAAGATGGTGCATATAATATAATTGTGTGATTGCCAAAAAGGACAAAATTGATAAACTTGCAAATGTTTTAAAATTATCATTATCACACAATTTCTAGCTGTTTGAAATTCTGCGTAATAAGGGAATAAGACTGTTAGAAATCGTATAGAGCCGATTTGCATTTGAATTTGCATACGGATATATTGTTTCTCTGCAGAAGTCTGTCTTGCTTTTATCACATTATCAACCAATGAAATCCAGGTTGCTGTGTGGAATTTTTTTGAGATCAATTGAAATCTGCAGATAATAGTAGTGCAAAATAAGTTGTTGGTACGGCTTTAATATGGTGTGTTAGAAGTCTCCATCACCCATACGTTTGCTTCTTTGGTTCAGTAACTCGGCTTGGACCCATATCTTGGGTATTCGGTAGAAAGATCTGTTTAGAGCATTTGCGTTAAACACACCTTGTTTTTGAGTTACAGATAACTTCTCTTTTGAAAAGCCAATCTTTAGAGATCGAACTACCAATTTACTGACCTTATTCCAGAAAACTTGAACATTTCTGAAGTGAAACAGTCAGATCTTAGATTTTTGTTGTTCTTCATATTTTTAAAGAAATTACTTGCTTCTTTGATCTCACCTTCTAGAGACTGACTCTGTAGGTTTGGGAATATCATTAAAGTTCAAATAAGTTTCAAGATCAATGTCATTTAAATTTTGATTCTCTTTATATACGTTTTCCTAGCATTGTTGAACATTCTCCAAAATATCTTTTTTTCTGTCATAGTTCCATTATCGTTTTTAATTTAAGGGATTGTTTTAGAAGTAAAATTTCTTTTCTCTAGGCTAAAAAAGTAGCTTGTAGGTTTTTCGTCTTCTTCCTCTCACTTGGCTTTAGATCTTATTATACTTGCCTTTAACTTTTACAACAGAATAGCTTGTACGTCTTTCTTTTCACCTCTAGTTCTGTAATATCAATAGTGTCACTACTTTCTAAATCATGTATGAACTACTCAATTCATTTTCTCTCAAATTTCTGTGTTTTGTTTTCTTGTAGGAAGAGTAAGATATGGTTTTACCTGTAATGGTCATTAAAAGAGATTCCAGGATCGATTGATCATTAATCGTATACTGCTAAGACGTCTCATCAATGTCATCAATATGACTATTATTCTATACAGGTAAATATATTCTTTTTCTCTTTTTTATCGGTAATAATGTCGTTAATTAATCTAACATATTTTGTATCGTTAAGAAGTGAATTATTGAAATTCCAAAGACCCTCCCTCTTTTGAATTCACTAAATTTTAACACTAGCTTTGTGAAAGAATGATCCTACATATAGCTACAAAATATGTAACAAAAGAAAAACTATCAGCAACCAAAACAGTTAAATTTTGATTACTTAAAAGGATGCGATTTTCTTCATGTGCATTTTGCTATGTTGAGATGATATTCTCTGAAAATATCTGGTAAATCATATTCCTCAATTATGTTTAAAAACCATATCTCGGGCTTGGGGATTATTTTTATTTTTGATGTCCTATCATAGTCAAGCTGGGGATTAAGAACACGATTGAAATCACCACAAATGATGAAACTATTGTTACTTAGCCCTCTAATTATTTCTGAGATTATCTTTATTTGGACCATATACAGTTGATAAAGTCAAACCTACAGTCAATATCAATCTCTAGTGTTAAAACATTACAAATTTGACCTTTTTAAAAAGTTTCTTTAATCTAAATTCAAAAGTATTGTTGAACAACATTGCGACCCCTCTGGCATTTTATTTATGTGAATTTAAAAAAATCATAACCCCATTCTGTTCTTATTTGATTTTGTAATTCTGCTGTGAACTTTGTGTCCTGAATGCAATAAATGCTATGATCTATATCCCACTCCCAAACAAAAAGAAAATACATCCTTTCTGTTATTGGTACGACTTAGATTCCAGTACAAACCAAGTAAATGTACACTGCGTAGTTTGTTGATCAAACCTACTGGAATACCATAATAGTGTAAGTATGGTTACAGGGGGTATATCAGGTAAAGGATATGTAAAAACCATACATTGTCCTAATGATTGAAGTAACCCAAATCAATGTGTATTTATAGAGAAAGAGTGTCAATAAGAATGTTGGTATATCACAATTCTGGAGTCTTGATAAACTAAAACTTGTTTAAATTTAGTTAAATCCAATTAACTGGATATAACTTTGAAAGATAATTTCAGTAAAACATGTATTTTCACTAAATACATAAGTGACCAGCAGAACTGCATGTATGAAGTAAAATAGAATTTGCAACAGGGTTCAAGACGATACAGAGTGCACCTGTCATTTCTCACAAAAGGATACCACGGATTCCGATAACTATAAATTTTGTTTCTATATTTCTTTGGTACTGTCAGTAAGGAATATAGTTTACAGTCAAAACAATATCAGAAGTATTAAAAGAAATAGCATGTTTTTACTATATTTACTGTATTTACGCATTTTATTATTGCTTACAAAACACTATGAAATAAAAAACAAAGAGAACGTTTATTTTAAAGTGATACAGAAAGGTGCTCTTGTCTATTATTACACATCTCTAGATATTCTGTGATACAGAAGGGTAACCACATCTGTTATCAAACATCTCTAGATATTCTGTGATACAGAAGGGTAACCACATCTGTTATCAAACATCTCTAGATATTCTGTGATACAGAAGGGTAACCACATCTGTTATAAAACATCTCTAGATATTCTGTGATACAGAAGGGTAACCACATCTGTTATAAAACATCTCTAGATATTCTGTGATACAGAAGGGTAACCACATCTGTTATAAAACATCTCTAGATATTCTGTGATACAGAAGGGTAACCACATCTGTTATCAAACATCTCTAGATATTCTGTGATACAGAAGGGTAACCACATCTGTTATCAAACATCTCTAGATATTCTGTGATACAGAAGGGTAACCACATCTGTTATCAAACATCTCTAGATATTCTGTGATACAGAAGGGTAACCACATCTGTTATCAAACATCTCTAGATATTCTGTGATACAGAAGGGTAACCACATCTGTTATCAAACATCTCTAGATATTCTGTGATACAGAAGGGTAACCACATCTGTTATCAAACATCTCTAGATATTCTGTGATACAGAAGGGTTCTCTAAATAAACAGTGGTACATAAGGTGCGGTTGTCTCTTATCATACATCTCTA